CAAAATGATTTTCCGAGCTTTCCCAAAGCACTAAAAAGACGCTGTTGCCAAAAGTTCTGCGCCGCAGACCAAACTCTGTTCACATTGAAACGATTGTCATGAAAATTGACATGCAGACTAATTAGGTAATGAAAAACATATTTGGTCTGCGTAATCAACCTTGTAAAACCAATTGTTAGACCATAAAATTGTTGCTCGTGTGAGGCGAGGGGGGTGGGGGGATGAAAAAAGAGCTTTTAGGTCGAACAGATATACAAAATTGGCACCAAGCTGTGGTTGGTGTTATTCAAGATAGCGCGCAGGCAGCATACTCAAAATGCAAGATCAAGAAATGTCGCGAATTCGATCGAACCAAGTCAAAAATTTGTTAGGGTTAAAAAAATGGTGTTCCAAGGAAAGTTTACAAGGTGTAAGTGTGGTATTCAGGGATAGAAAGTGATGCAGTTCGAGGTGAGGGTTAAGGTCTATCCGGTTTAAGTGAGTAGGTAGGTCTATCGGGTTTAAGAACACGGGCGGATCTATAGGTCAACCAAAATGATTTTCCGAGCTTTCCCAAAGCACTAAAAAGACGCTGTTGCCAAAAGTTCTGCGCCGCAGACCAAACTCTGTTCACATTGAAACGATTGTCATGGAAATTGACATGCAGACTAATTAGGTAATGAAAAACATATTTGGTCTGCGTAATCAACCTTGTAAAACCAATTGTTAGACCATAAAATTGTTGCTCGTGTGAGGCGAGGGGGGTGGGGGGATGAAAAAAGAGCTTTTAGGTCGAACAGATATACAAAATTGGCACCAAGCTGTAGTTGGTGTTATTCAAGATAGCGCGCAGGCAGCATACTCAAAATGCAAGATCAAGAAATGTCGCGAATTCGATCGAACCAAGTCAAAAATTTGTTAGGGTTAAAAAAAATGGTGTTCCAAGGAAAGTTTACAAGGTGTAAGTGTGGTATTCAGGGATAGAAAGTGATGCAGTTCGAGGTGAGGGTTAAGGTCTATCCGGTTTAAGTGAGTAGGTAGGTCTATCGGGTTTAAGAACACGGGCGGATCTATAGGTCAACCAAAATGATTTTCCGAGCTTTCCCAAAGCACTAAAAAGACGCTGTTGCCATAAGTTCTGCGCCGCAGACAAAATTTTGAAAAAATAGCGTTTTTAGGCACTTTTTGGAAAATGGTTACCTTAAAATTGCGTTTTTTTTCAGCACGCGCTCCACCCTAGAAATTAGTATATATTTTGGCGCCAAAGGCGCCATTAGAAAAACTTCTGGGTCCGTTAGCCATAAAAGGATATCCCAAAGTAGTACAAAGGGGGCCCTTTGGGTCGGCAGGGTGTCGAATCCCTGAGAAAAGAAGGCGATCCCCCCGCCCGGCTCCTAAATCTGCCTCTGTTTAAGAATCTACCTGTGTTTTAACAGGGGACGGGAAAAATTTAGTCTTAAGTCGAAAGGGGAAAATATGGGGGAGATATTATGAGGTTTAAAAGGAAGCACGTTTGGTGGCGGAGCGTCTTCAATAGCCAGTCCAAATCTATGTATGCGTAGTTGTTTTAATGACTTCATTAAATTGTTCAAAAAACTAAATCAAAATTAATGAAAAATTCAAAATTGATTTAAGCAGAAGAAGTAGAAGCTCCAAACAGGAGAATTGTCCAGACTTTCTAAGAAAGTGAAGAATATATATTTTTTTATTCAGTCCAATTTTTAATAAAACTCTGGTCATTCAGGGAATCTATATCTTGATCTGCATGGACCCAGCCCGACGTGCACTCTATATTGCACACATATAGCCCCAATCAACAAAATTCTTTGTTTAAGTCTTGAAATTAAACGATTTCAATGACAATTCAGAATTGATTGATATGTTCCTTTGATCATAACGTTTGAAACCCATGTTTTTTAGCTAAAAAACCATTTCAACTTAAACTTTGTTAATTGTTAAGGACCACTACAAGTTGGGCTGTTAAAGCCAGTATAGTGGCTCTGAAATAATTTTAAATGTACCTAATTTGTTTGGTAATGAAATGCAATTTATACTTCTTCAAATAAACCTTATAAACCTTATCAAATAAACCTTATATATTAACTTTCCACGAGTCGTGTAAGCTGCTCGTTTTATCGCCCACTACAAATTATCCCACACTACAAAATCGTTCCAAGTTGAATTGCGACAGCTAATTGTTATTATTAATTTCATTAATCACTCAAGTTACAAGGCTTAAATTTTTATCTGATCAGCCTAAAATTAATAGCTTTGCCAATGTTTAATTTAACAAAAACTTGAAGGGCAGTCCGAATATTCAGGGCTTTGCCCTGATACGAACAATTTTGTTTGTGATTATGCGCGCTAGACTTCTAGAAGAGTTGAGCGTGTTTCCCGGGAGGTAAATGGTGAATAAGTACGGGAAAAGATGGGATGTCGATTTTTAGGGTGAAGTGTCAAGCAAATATGTACCAGGGTTGACACATAGACCGAAAAGATTAATCATACAATTCCATAACCTAAGACTATGAAAAAATACTAGTCATACAAATTTCATACATTTTGCTAATGTGTCATCGAATTTTCAAAGAACTTTTTTCTTGTTTTGGCATAAAAGTCGGTGTATCGTACTAAACAAAAAGAAAAACTTTTTGTCAAAAAAATTGCAATCCTACAATTTCCATATATTGAATTTGTATGACTAGCAGTTTTTTCACGGCGACAACAAAAAATTTTCAAAGTAAATTTGAAAAGGACCCAAAATTTTTTAGTTTTTTTATTTCAACCGTAAATCGAATTTTGTAGTCAATTATCTTCCAAAAGAAGCTTTTTTGCATGCAAAACATACTTTTTATGTGCATAACGTAGTCATATCCTTCTTTTGATATCCTACTTTTTGTGTGCATATCCTTCTTTTGATAATGTTTTTTTACCAAAAACTCAAAAAACTATTATTTTTGCACGGCATAATTATGTATGTTAATAATCATCTTTGAAAATTTTTGCGAAAAACTAAAAGTTTGATAGTTTCAGTATATGATTTGTCTTAGAAAATTTTTTTACCTTTCAGGTCGGTTCCAAAGCATTGTAAATGCAAAACCTTTGGTGACTATAGTTTTAGGTAAACTATAGTTTTTGTCACTTGTGTTCGCTCACGAACACATCCTCCAAAAATTTTTTGTTTATGGGAAAATGCTGGTATACCATTTCCATATGAAAAATTACTAATCATAGAACTTTCATACAATTTTCTGTACTGATGGAATTGCATGGAAAGGGTATGACTAGCATTTTTCCAGATCTGAAAATTGTATGACTAGTGTTTTTGGTCAACCCGAGTAGTGCTTGGATACTTCTGACATTCTTTACCGCTCATATTTGTGCATCTTGTTAACCGAAATGAAGAGAGGCTATTCCTTCACTCTTGATTAGTCTACAACGTGAAAAATTCACACCAGTTTTTCTCAGTACTGAAAAAAACTCAAATATCAATTGAAACCCGATCAGGAGTGCTTTTATAAAAACGATATATTATTCGTTGAATCTGCAAGTAAAAATATGAAAACAATCTTACGGCAAATCAAGATTATCACCTTGTTGTGTGAAACGCACGCAAAGATGGGATCATTGACCATCTGTATCGTTTCAAAACAAAAGAGACCAAAACCACAAAAAAAATGTTTCTTTTCAAAACTGTAATTGTCTTTCTGAAAACGGAGAAAGAGACTAAAACTATGCCACAAAAACTAGCTAGAATAAGTTATTAGGCCAGCAGCCTTAGCTCAAACCCGAATGACAATTATTCAAGCTAAGTTGGCTTTTTCGTTCCTCCAATTGTCAAACTTTACTATTACAAATTGTGGTCAAATTGCACAATGATAAAAAAATTCTTAAGCCAACAGTTTTTGAGAAAAATTTTTTAACACAAATTCAAATCTTTTTAAGCATCATACAATACAAACAAGATCAAAAATACAAACAATACAAACAAGATCAAAAAAAGATACTGTTGTATTTGTTACGGTTGACGGGAACTTGTATATGTTACTGTTGCCCAACCAAAACTTAAACCAGAGTGTTTCAATAAACTGAAAAAAAAATTATAAAACTTTAAAAAGTGTTCAAACTTCTTTTAGGTTTAACTTTTTTCACTTTAATTGACGAGGGTGTGTCTGTAAAAATGATTTAAATGTTTTAACAAGGAGGCGAAGCGGACGTTGTCAAAAGCTACGCAATTCTATGATTTTCTGACATAAGGTAAAATTCTTTCAATTTTTTTTACTCCTCTTTCTTCTGCCGCTTCTTTTTTTTCAGTTTTATTTTGACTTTACTCACAATTAAAAACCAGGACAGCTCAATCACCAGTTTTAAAATCACAGGAAACGGAAATGTGGAATAAGATAGATGTACTATACGAAACCGAAAAAAAAACTCTTTGCAATGATTAACTTTTTTAAGTAAAAATATACCAAATTGCAAAACTAGATGAAATATTAATATTGATGTTCCACTGGCGATTTCGATATTTGAAGACCATTTTTAAAATTGAAAGTCATTCACGTCATTTCGCACCATTTGCACTTTCCTAATTGGAAAGCGTAATTTGGCTTTCTTTTACAATAAATGCGAGACTGATGGGCATATGCTTTTCGGTCAGAGAATTTGAACGTAATTAATCAACAGATAACTGCTAGTTTCGACGTAAAATCTCCATTCATCACTCAATTCCACGTGTAAAAACTGTGTCAAAACAAGACTAATTGAACTTAAATGCTAGTTTTGACCAATGAAAGTGCTCAAGGTCACCGATATTGCCAACAGTTTGGAACTAACTATAACACACGAATTTGAATTGAACTTGAAAGAAAACAAAAGTCAAACCGAAAAAAAAGATCAAAACCGAGCGTGAACATATTTTGAGACTTTACCTAAAAAAAAAACAATGGAAAATCAACGCAATCTATATACGTAATAAATCATTTAGTCTATTAAAAGTTAATCAATATTTTTAAAAAGCTCACTTGCATTATAGATTTAAATTCCACTACCAACATTTATTTCTTATTCAAGTTATTAATTTCTTATTATCGACAATTTGGTAAAAGTTATATCATCAATTATAAGTTTTTTATATTCCCTGTTACCATTCAATTCCAACTTCAGTCATATATACACAAATCCAGTCCGTCAAATAACTTTAGACATCACTTTTAAAATCTGAGTGGCATTCGTAAGTCCATTCAGTCTATACTCATTGCATATTCTTTGAAACTCGTCATGGTCGCATTTTCCACTCTCCACTTGCTCCAAGTGATCCTTCAGCAGCAGGAAAGTTCCCTTTGAAAGTGAAAACAGCGTCACAATATCCGACAAACAAGGGAAGAAGTTCCTCGGATTTCGGGTAAACTTTCCGACTATTGGCAGCAATCCTTGTGAAATATCTGTTACAAATTGGTCGCATCCAAACTTTGAGAAGTTTGTCTTCAAAACAAGGTCAATGTAAATGATTTTGTCGACAAAACTGCACACCGATTTCCACGTGTTTCGGAATGAGTTTTCGTTTAAAGTCAAACTAAGTTGTTCAATTTCTGTGGAGAAGGGAAGCAAAATGTCGGCTGCAATTGTGGAAACATTCTTTCCAGCCTCATCTTTCTGTTCCTAAAAACAGAGTCACTTGCTTTTTCTGGTAATGAACATTCGCCGAAACAGAGCAAGCTGTACGCCTAGATGAGTAATCTATAAAAGCAAATCCTTTTCTTTGTTTTTGTGCAGGTCTAAGCGAACAATTGATTGTTCTGACGACGAAAACTAAGTCTTCACGGTTTTTTATTCAAGAAAAATTAGTCGCCACAAAAACCTTTCGAACCAGGAAAATTGCTGCCTTTTTCCTGCATTGTTGCCTTTTTCTGCATTTTGGTTTTGGTACAAAAGTACAGATTTTAAATTTATCCAAACTCAACCTCTTCAAACTCGACCTTACCTCTGATTTCTTCGGCTGGCTCTTGGTCCAAAACTTCTGACTCCTGTAGAGCGGCACCTTCTCCTTCACCTGATTGGCCACATATCTGGCCAGAATGAGCTCACAGTCCTGCATGAAGAGGGACATGGTCTCCACCTGGTAGTCGAATGGACCCACACTGGTCTGGATACCAACTGAGTCCGATCCTGCAAAAGAAACATGCATCAAACATTGAAAGACTCTTGCACTCTTTTAGGTATTATCTTTCTGCCAAGAGCTCATCATATTTTCACCTAAATTTCCACATTTTCTCTCCGCTCTGACTGAAACTTGGGAAATCTAAAAATGAAAATCCACTTTCGAAACTAGAAGTAGTTCATGGTTTTCGCGCCATTTCCACGTTCTTATTTGGAGAGCGCAGCTTAGCCAACTTTTAGTGAATGAAATTGAATTGAACTCAAAAAGTGCATATCTACCTAAGTGCATTCATAATAAAGCATTATTATGCATGAATGTACATCTAGTTATAAGAGCATTTTAAGACTTTTTCAAAAAACAATTCTTCAAAACTACCGACCTGTTACATCATCCATACGCGGCAATGTCAGGAGTGAGTAAGTGACGTCACTGGACCATTGCGTAAGAACTTGGATTACGTAATGAGCCGAGTTCAAAATGCCAATGAACGATTCATTCAGAGGAATAATTTTCTCCTGGTTTTTCAACTGCATCAACCTCGTGCGAAACTCGTCCATTAGTTCAAGCTGCAAGTGGAAAAACTGTTTTCGGTGCTCAAAACTCGGCAACTTTTTGTACCTGTTTGAAATGCAATCTAATAAAGTCAGAAATATATTTGCAGATTTCGGAATGAACTTGAGCCTGTTATCGTCAGTTATTTCCGCTTTCCAGCAGTTTTCCCAATCCGAAAGTAGATTGTCTAATTTTTCTTTTACCAAGTTTGACTCCATTTCCAACCACTTGGGAAAAACTTTTTCGTCCAGAAGCAAAACTTGAAGCGGAGAGTAAAAACAACAGTCGATGTTTTCGACGTCGATGCAGTTTTCGAGTTCCCTGTCAAAGTTCAAAACTTCGTCAACATAATGCGACAACAAAGACTCGTTATAGACGACGTGTTTCAAATCCGACGTCATTTTTGTCCGAATGAAACCCAAAAGCCCCGCGACAAATTTTATCTTCATACTAACAGGTTTATTCCACATTTTATTAACAAGTGGCTGAAATTCGTCGTCCAAGTAGTCTTTGCATTCTTGTACCCATTTCAAAACCTGCGTCAAATACCATTCCGGTTTTTCGATGCTATTTGTCTTTCTGTCGCCGTAAAAATGGAAGTAAAATCTCTTTTTAAACACAATTAACAAAGCACTAATAGGAGGTAAATTCAGATCAGCTAATTCGTTATCTGTTGATATAATACTCTTATCGACTAAACCTTTTATAGCAGGTTTTTGAAGTCCCAAAAGTTGTAAAAACAACTCATTTCTCTGACCAATCAAATGCTCTCGTTCTGTTTCCTTCATCTGATTGGCCGCTATCAATACGTTGCTCGTTCCCCAGCCTAGCTTCGACATGGTTCGAAGGAAATCTGTTTTAACCGAATCAATTAATTTACTTTCCCAGTCCTCAATTTTGGAATACATTTTGTCAAGTAAATTCTCATTTGAATCTTCCGGTAAATTTTGGTAAAGAAGTACCGCTTCCGAGTAAAACATTATTGCTTTAGGAGTGGACTCTTGATAAGCTTCATTTATTTTTCTTAGAATAGATTTGAACTCTTCCAATGCAACCATTTGCTGTTTTTGCTTCTCCAAGTTTTGCAATTTTTCACACTTTTCTTTCAAAATGTCATAAAACTCATCCGTCTTTAACTTGCTATTCGCAATTTTACGCAATAATAATTCTCGTTTTTTCTTCAGCTCGCGGAGACGTGTCAAGTCATTTCTTGCTTCTCCAGTCAATTCTTTAAGTGAGGAAATATCCGATTTTTGACCTTCGGTTCCACTTTGGTCCAAATTTTTGAGCCGATTTGAGAAAAATTCGAGCCAGTGTTTCGCATCGTCTTCGGAGTGGCAGTTTGAATTTAGAAACTGAATTATGTTGTCTTCTGAAAGAGAATTGACGTCGAACTCTCCATTTATGGCATCTGATGACATGGCAAGACCTGAAGTGAAATCACTTTATTGAAGACACATTTTAAACTTGAAGCATCTCTCCACTAGGAAAAGAACCAATATACGAGCAAATTTGCTCTTATGCAGAATCGCTACTTTGCATACAATTAAGAACTAAAAACCTTTTTCAGTAACTTTTCTCGTTTGATAATTGTTGACCCGTCCTCAAAACACAGATCGAGGTGGTCCTCGACCACAGCCACTTAAACCGCTCTCCCATTTGCCCCAAACATTGAAGTTTAATTAATTTAGTGACTGGTGACTCAGTGTCGAGAAAAAGTGGTCTGGGCCAATTTTGTTTTCAATGACAACTTATCTTCACCAGATAGTTACTGAAGTTTTTAACAGCTCGCGACACCTCTCCCACAAAATACAAATTAAATAAACTTTTTGAATTTACTAAATTGCATTAACTTAGTCGACGATCCTCCATAATTCTCAATTCAGACCCATATAAACTTACTGAAAAGGTGTTACTACCTATAACTCTAGTTTTTACTGAAAAGTATTTCTTATTAAAAGAGTTATTTTCGATAGTTATTTCAGCGGTAAACAAGATCAATTCAAAAACAAAAAAGAATCAACTTTCATCGTCTAGCAAACTTTGCTTCAAGAACTTCTGAACAGCAGCGTAAACTAGAGGACTGTTTTCTATGCATTTTTTCACCGCAGTTGACAAAACTTGTCCCGAAGGGCACTGTCCATTATGGCTCAGTGTCGCTATTTGATTGACATTTGGGAGGTATCCGACAGTCACTACCGAAGTTGAGAACAAAATTTTTTGATCGACCTCCGTTCTATCCGACCCAGTTTGGTAAGATATGGTTTCGTCTTCAAAGCAAGGATCTACAGCGATTTCAAACTCTTCCTTAAACAGAAAGAAAGAATGTTTTGTTTGTTATTCAATTCAATTAGTTTTAATTGAGCCGTTATACTCTCATATGGTGAACGATAGCAGAAAACTCAGTTTTTAGTCTGATTTTTTGGTCTGCATTTAATATTTCTGCAAAACAGTTTCAACAGATCTCAAAAAATTGAAATGGCTGGCCTTTAAACAAGTAGACTCTATTTGAGCAGACACTCGTTCAGCCGGCCAGAACAAAACAGTCTTCATAGCATCCAATAATTGTTCTGACCATTGAAAATGGGGAGGAACTTTGTACTCGGGTGTGTTTTAGTTTTTTTTCTGTGTTTCCCATGCAAAATCAGGTACCACAAATAATCATCGGACTTGATTGAGTGATATATCATACTAAAGCCCTTTCAGTCGTGATTCGAACATCTAAAAAATGAAATTTTTTTCAGTGTCGAAAAAAAGCGATTTAAAGACCGCTTTAAAACGGTAATGCAGAAAAAAAAACGATACCAAATTGAAATTAAAAAAAAAACTTTTTTTTTGTATTTTTTTCTAAGACTGTGGTCGGAACAATCTGTGCTACTTGTACAGGAACCGGCTATCTTTGTTAACATTTTAAAAAAAGCTAAAAGTATAAATGCAAAATATACAAAAAATGCCTTGAAAAAAATCAACTTCAAAAACCGAAGTAAATTGCGCGACACTATGCCGTTCGAACTTTCATCTACCGTTGAAGAGTCACTTGCATTAAACAGGTAGCCAGGGTTTCAAAGAATTTACCTCTTTCACGCATATTAATTCGTAGATATCACGAATTAAATTGCGCACTAATGAAGCCGATATACCTAGACCATGCTGTTTAACTAACGACACATAGCTAACAGACAGTTTAAAAAGAGTCAATGAACGTAAGTTACGAGAAAAAAATACCGCTTGTTTTTTTTCTTCAAAATATCAAGCCTTAAATCTTTTGAATTTCAAAAACAATTTATGATTGACTCTTTTTTGATAATTTTAACCCAATGTAGGAAAACTGGATCAAACGGTAAATTTTCTATTTCGCTGGTAAACCTAACAACTAAAATCCATTTTACAAATTAGAAATCGATCACGTTTTTTGTGACTTTTGCACTTTCGCTGTTCGATAGTGGAGTTTGCCTTCCTTTTAACAAGGTAATGAACTGAACCCGAAAAGAAAACAAAAGTCAAACCTTGAAAAAGTATATTTGAGCCTGAAGAAAAAATCATCAGGGCTTATATAACCGAACTACAATAATCGACTCTAAATAAACAACCCACTAAAATGTGCAACTTTAACAGGTAACAATTTGGCTGATCGTTTTAGACTACTACCTCAAGTTTGCTTGAGCAAAAATACACGATTGCAAAAAAGTCAAAATTGAATGAAAAAACCTAAATAATTTTTCCGCAAATTTTTCGAAAATCTTAGCGAAAATCAGTTTTAACTTTTTATAAGTTTGAGTGCACTTTAGCGGCAGCTGTGACAACAAAAAAAACTCAAAAATTTAATACTCCTCAATATAACTTAAGCTAAGTTTAAGGCTGAGCGGAAAATACACCGAGAACTTAAGTACCAACACAAGCGTCGAAATAAAAGAACATTCATGCAACTTTAAGAAATCGACGTATACTCTGATATTACTTTAAACAACTTACTACTTTATCTCAAATGCAAGCCTCCAAAAAACGTTGTAACCTCTGAATTAAAGAAACTGATCATTTTTTCAATTACGTTCATTGACGCTTTGTTCATTTCCGCATCAAAAAAAACTAAGTATGGTTTAGTTTATCTCAAACCTGCTCTCCGTCCGTCAACCCCTTCTCGTCTCCCCCTCCGACCATGACAGCACAATTCACACCCACTAGCATATCATGCATTTCCATGCCTGCACTGGTGATGGCACAAGACAGTGCAGTCAGACTATGGGCCAACACTCCCCCGTCGTTCTCTAACACCAGTACAGTCAAATCCAGCGTGCTCTTAGGGAACTTGGTTCTGTCCACCACCGAGCAGAAACACTCCTCGATAAACGTCTCGTAATCTGAATCACACTAAAATGGTTACTCTCAGCTGCTTAAACAACGGCGGTCATGTATCAGAGCTTCTTAACCTTGAACTTCAAAACTACGGTATATTGGCCAAAAAAAGTATTTAAATCTTAATCAGAGGCGTTTCTGTCTGAAGAAACAAATAGCCCAAAAGTAAGCTTTCCCTCGTAAACAATCTTAACTTCTGAACAGTCTTCAATGGTCTCACCTGAGCACACTTTCTGAGTGTCTCTCTCGTCGGCCACTTCAGCACCTGGAGTGGCGAAGGGACTGATGACGAACTGACAGGACAACTTGCCCTCCATCACCATCACGTCACTCTTCAGATTCTCACGAGGACCATACACCGCAGCCACTATCTTCGTATTTCCACATTCCAAGTAACACGAGCCCCTAACAATATCAACAACTTTTTAAACATTGCTCCAGACTGATTTCAAAACATGGGCGCGCGTTTAACATCTTTATTATAAACTATAATTACTGATTAAAGCCATTCAGGTCTTGATTTTTTGAACACTATTCGTTGCCCGGATTGGGGGAAAACGATGTAAAGGCACACACTTCCTCAGCCTCAAAGCCAAAAGGCGTATTTTGGTTTTTGCGATAACCATTAGCGACGTACCCCATTGTAAAACTTCTATAGCCAATATATACAAATTCTGAGGCACTAGGGCGCTCTAAAACATGTCCTGAGAGAAAAAGCAACCAAAGAATTCTCCCTGCTCGCGAAACAGTCTTCCTCCTAGATCTGCCGTTGACAATTTAAAAACTCTATTCTGAAAAATCAAGTAAAAATAACACTAAATCGGCAAAAATAACTCAGTAGTCGTTTGTACAACAAAGCAAATTTTTAAAGCCACAATTTCAAAATTGCAAGCATTAAGGAAAATAATATAAAAATGCCTTGAACTGCAGTGTTTCCAAGACCAATTCAGGTCATCAATTTTTGGGATGCTGGAGTTTTTACTGCAACAAACATAGCTGCAACAAGGGTCAAAATCGACTTTGTGTTTTGATTTTTTGGAGGTAAATTTCAAAATTTGTAACTAAATTGTGCCGATGGCTGCTGTTTATAATTCCCCGAGCATCAAAACTTTTGACTTTTTGGAAGATTGAGAAACTACGCGACACTTATTCGAACAAAAATCAATGACTTTTATGTTGTGGGAGATTTTAATATTTAAACTAAACCAGACAGTAGGGTTACACGAGATTTTATTTATTTGAATCAATCATATGGGTTCGCCTTATCTAATTGCAATCTACCTACCCGATTGGGAGAGACTCGAGATAGCTGCATTGACCATGTAATCACCAATCGTAATATCAAAGATGAAATTACGTATGTTCTACAGTGTGATATGCCGGATCATTACATGCTTTCTCATGTCACCTCAGTCTTACGACGGAATTTTGGGGAAAAATCAGACGCAGATACAATATTGCAAATTTATGGAGTTCTAATGATATCAAAAGACTTGTTTCATTAACAAGATCAACTTGGCAAACAAACCAATTTTTCAGTGTGTTTCTTGATTTAAGTAAAGACTTCGATACAGTTAATCAAAAACATTTCTATAAATTGCAGTGTGTGTATCAGAAGAGTTGTTAGAAAGTTTTTCCTAAAGAACACAATTTGTTGCTATAGGAAATAAAACTTCCAAACTTCTAAAACTTCCAAAAAGGTTTCTTAAGACGTCCCGGAGGGCTCAGTGTTTGGTACCCTTCTTTTTTCCTCTACATTAACAATATGATAACATGTTTTTCCGCACCATATGCCTAATTGGGATTATTTGCTGATTCTTTGGACCCAGCAGTCCTAATGAACGAAGTGCTTTCAAAAGTTTTCACATGGTTAAAAGTAAACGGAGTGAACTTATTGTTACGACTCAATTCGTGTTCATAAAATCAAATCAAAATTGATGGCTGATCAGTAGCTGAAGCCAGTTATGTGATTAATTGGGTTCAGCATTTGATAACCGATTGAATGCAGGAAGAAACTGTCTGCAACAAAAACTCAAAAATAATAGGAATTTTACAGTTTTCAAAAACTATTTAGGCGATTTTCGGAGACTCCTTCTCTAAAACTCTTACATTAAACGTATACTATTCTATGGTATAATTTTTAATGACTGTATTTCTGTTAGAATTAAACTGAGTGAATCTGAATATATCGAAAACCTATCTTTACGACTTAGCTCATGTGCCAAAAATCAAATCAAAATTGATGGCTGCTCAGTAGCTGAAGCATGTTTTTGAAAATATTTGGGGTTACATCTTGATAACCGAAAGAAATTCGAAAACACAAGAATTGACTGCAACAAAATTTCAAAAATAAACGCTATTTTACGCTTTTCAAAAACTATTTATGAGACTCTCGGAGACTACTTCTCTACGCCTCTTAGATTGAACCTATACTAGAGTATGGTATGATAGTTCATGTCTGTGTTTCTGTTAAAATTAAACCGAGTGAGTCTGCATATATCAAAAATCTATTGTTACCTCTTAAATCACGTTCACAAAATCAAATCAATATTGATGATGGCTGCTCAGTAGCTGGAGCCAGTTATGTGAATTATTTGGGGTTTCATCTTGATAGCGGATTGAAATTACAAAAGCAGGTGGAAATTTTTTGCAACAAAACTTCAAAAAAAATCGGAATTTTACGTTTTTCAAAAACTATTTAGGCGACTCCCGGAGACTACTTCTCTACACCTCTTACATTTAACCTATACCTTTCGTTTTCCAAAGAAATTTTTACAATATACAATGCAAAGAAGTTGTTACAAAATACCACAAATTTTTTTTTGTCCCAGATAAATTAAAAGAAATTATTTTTGTCACTAGAAATCGAAAATCAAATATGCAACCTACTTTATTCTGTAGAATTCAACTCGGAAGAAAAAGAAATTAAAATAGAGTTCCAAAGGTGTTGAAAAAAATTCACAGATAAGAACTTTTACCTTTAAAGAACTCCTCGCCCTTTTCCAGAAAACGTAAAATCAAAAAATCCAAATTATTGAGTGTTTTGTAGAAATCAGTCAGATTTTCATGAATTACGAACAGAACTAAATTTTAAGCTTTCATTTGCTGTCTGGTTTATTAATTCTTTCAAATAACTTCTTCTTTTTTTCCAATAATCCCTTCATCAAGAGACTCTTTTGAAACAGAGGCGAATCGGAGCTTCGCACCAATTGCAATACAAAACAAACATAGTAAAATAAAAGTCGAAATGAAAGTTAAAAAAAAACCAATTGAACAAAAAAATTCCTATGTGTCGACAACAGATAGCTAGAGGCCCAGCTAAAGCTGGAGTTAGCTGTTTGAGACTTTTGAAATTTTTTATACTGATACGGGATGAAACAGGTAATTTCAAAAATTGGACTTTGCCTAAAATCTTAGCTGAGTTACTCTGTACTAAAATAAGTGAGAGTGAAAATAAAACTAAGTGAACCAAAGTGTCCGTATGTCTCGTTAAAGGAAACTATGGGGCCCAGCTAAAGCTGGAGGTATCAAACTGATATTTTGGGAAATAGCCCTACTGATACAGGATGAAATGGGTAATTGGGCAAATTCATAAATTGGGCTCAGCCCAAAACCATAGTTGTTTCTCTACTAAAAAAAATGAGAACTGTAAAAATTTTTGAGAAAATGCATCGCCCAAACACATAAGTCTTTTGTTACAAGTTGTTGCCGCTTCTGTATAAAAAAATCTCGCAACCGCTTCTTTCGATTGAACCCTTTAACTCATATTTGATAGGGTAGTTTCTAAAAAAAATCAAAATTTTTTCCCAAAACAATAAGATTTTCTGTAATGAGAAGTTCGTAGCCTCCTGAGCAGAGAAGACTCACAAAACCAGTTTCTCGATTGAACCAAAACATTTAACCTACAAATTTTTCGAGATACCTCAAATAGTTTCAAAAGACGGTACAACAAAGTAATTATTGAATATTCCCAGAGCCATTTTTTCCGTACTGAAAAAATTGGGCGTAGGGGATTATGCACACAGCTTTCCACCACCGGTTGGTTTGATTGAAAACAAAAATCTCAGATTTGAGAGGGTAGTTTTCGAGAAAAGTCAAAAAGAATCAAAAACGGTCAAAAAATCAAAAACTTGCCTATTCCGGGGGCCAATGTGGAGAAAAATTTGAGCGCAGTCGTTAAGCAGTGGAGCTTCCCACAACCCATTTTATTCATTGAACCTAAAATCTCAGATTTAGGAGAGGAATTTCCATTGATAGGCCTTTTTTGAAATTAGGTAGAGTAGTCTTCTACTGAACAAAAAGTTTTGAAAAAACTTTCGCAAGCTTCTCAAAATGTAAAAAATAAAAAAACCAATCCCATACATTTTCAGAATACCTGAATTTGTCGAACAGGAACTTTTTGGCCGTCCCTATAACACAAAAAAAATTAACTAAGCCGGTACAACATCAGCTGAAATTATTTAAAATCATACTTGGTAAAATGACAAATTACAGAACTTTCAATTATTGTAGAAAAAATTTAAGTATCAAAATAAAATCCATGCATCACAAAGTAAGCCAACAAAAACTCGCACCAGATAATACAAAAATATATATAAAATAAATTTTTGACAAACAGAAAATATAACGACGGCAACTAGGCTGAAAACCACGAATCCGAAAAAATCCACATTGGGTAATCGCAAGGGTTTAAAAAGAAAAAATACGAAGTCAAGGTAAGGAGAATTACAAATTGGAAACATAAAAATCAACTACAATGAAACTGCAATGAAAAAGATGTGGTAACTAAGTCGACAAAACATGAGCAGACAAATAAGCCGAGAATTTTTTTGAAACGAAAAATATTCCGTTTAAAAAAAACAGGTCCTGGTCAGATTCGAACCCAGGACCTTTGCCATCCATCCCAACCCAAGCGTATTCGTTGCATCAACAATAAACGTACCGAAGACGCTTCGAAATTTCAATTCATTATGCACCGATACCACGAGATTCTGTTGAACAAGTTGTTAAAACGAAAAAAGTCGATATTTGTATTTGATAACGCTAGCTAATCGCAAGCGTAAAAACATTTACGGCATTAAATAACACTGTCATGCTAGATTCCCTAATTTCATATTATTAAATTTGAAGTGACAATATTCCAATTTTCTATATAAGAAAATTTCTCAAGCTGGAGTCATACCTGCTTTTACTGATCATCCTGGGTGATATGAATATTTTCCGATGTCCCCTTCTGTTTGAATGTTCCATTACAGTCTTTTTATCGGAAGGCAGAAACTGCTTCCAGCTGAATGTTGGAGGTAATCCCCTGCTATTCAGCAAAACTGACATATTCTATCTTGAAGAGAGGCAAAATTCTGAAACGCGGTTTCAAACATCGTTTTGACATGAAGATCTGCCTGGGACTTTAAAAAGCAATCGTTTTTCAGGCTTAAGACAAAAAAAAACGAACAACGGTTGCTTGCCAATTAAAAAGCAATAGATTTTGCATCCATTTTCAGCCGACCATATCTAAATTTTTCTTAAAGCGATTTGGCGCCATTATATATTTATTTTGAGTCTTAAGGGGGAGGAGGGCAGAGTTTGCCGTTTTTCAGAAAACCGCCTGCAGGGCAGAAAATATTGTCAAAATAGGGTGTGATAGTGAATTGGTAGAGCTTGGAAAATTAATTTGGTCGACCTTACAATATTTTTTGAAAATCGCAGCTTCCCTCGAAAAAAGATCCACCCCTGATACCACTCTCAATCCAATCACCAAAAAATAGTTCCTTGCCACCTTTTGGTTGGAGCACTCAGATGTTTTGGACACATATCGAATTTCAATATTCAAAAGCACGGCGCTAAAACAACAAACAGATCATTTTTGAATGTCGAAAACCTCACTTTAGACCAGGGGCGGATCTAGGATTTTCTCGAGGGGGGGGGGGGGGGGGTGTTGGATTTTCAAAATGAAATTTGAAAACTATGTCGGGCTTTTTTTAGGTCGACCAAAGTGAATTTCCGAACTCTCCCAAAGCACTAAAAAGACCCAAGACCCTATTTTGGTCAAATTTTGTGCGCCGCAGGCAAAATTTTGAAAAACAGGCCAAAAAGGCGTTCTAGGCACTTTTTGGAAAATTTTGACCAAAAATTCGCGTTTTTTGGCGCACACTCCCCCCCTCCCTCTCAAAATTAGTATATATTGGCGCCAAAGGATCCACCAAATATGGATATCTCAAATTAGTATTAAGAGGGGACCCTTTGGGTCGGCAGGAGGTCGAATCCCTGAGGGGGGGGGGGGGGGGGCGGACGCCCCACCCCTAAATCTGCCCCTGCTTTAGAACATAGTTCTTTCCCCCTCATCGCAGAATGGTTGGTACTCAAGGAAATGAAAAAATAAAAGAATCAAACCAAAAGCAATTGATTTGCTAGAAAATTATATTTCTAGCGGATCAATTGCTTTCGGTTTGAATCATCTTTCATTTTTTGTCTATTCTGATTCTTTTGGTTCCGATCATTCTCGAGATGTTACTTTGTACAACCTAGTGCACAACATGTCGTTCAGTATTCGAAAAGGAGTGGGCAGTGCTCAGGCCGACAAAAATCCAATTCAGCCGAAAAAGCATCGAAATGATCAGCGGTAAACTTCAAGAAATCGACTTTCCTTACCTCGCTCATGGAAACTAATTCATAGAAATAATGTTCCATTACAGTCTTTTTATCGGAAGGCAGAAACTGCTTCCAGCTGAATGTTGGAGGTAATCCCCTGCTATTCAGCAAAACTGACATATTCTATCTTGAAGAGAGGCAAAATTCTGAAACGCGGTTTCAAACACCGTTTTGACATGAAGATCTGCCTGGGACTTTAAAAAGCAATCGTTTTTCAGGCTTAAGACAAAAAAAAACGAACAACGGTTGCTTGCCAATTAAAAAGCAATAGATTTTGCATCCATTTTCAGCCGACCATATCTAAATTTTTCTTAAAGCGATTTGGCGCCATTATATATTTATTTTGAGTCTTAAGGGGGAGGAGGGCAGAGTTTGCCGTTTTTCAGAAAACCGCCTGCAGGGCAGAAAATATTGTCAAAATAGGGTGTGATAGTGAATTGGTAGAGCTTGGAAAATTAATTTGGTCGACCTTACAATATTTTTTGAAAATCGCAGCTTCCCTCGAAAAAAGATCCACCCCTGATACCACTCTCAATCCAATCACCAAAAAATAGTTCCTTGCCACCTTTTGGTTGGAGCACTCAGATGTTTTGGACACATATCGAATTTCAATATTCAAAAGCACGGCGCTAAAACAACAAACAGATCATTTTTGAATGTCGAAAACCTCACTTTAGACCAGGGGCGGATCTAGGATTTTCTCGAGGGGGGGGGGGGGGGGGGGGTTGGATTTTCAAAATGAAATTTGAAAACTATGTCGGGCTTTTTTTAGGTCGACCAAAGTGAATTTCCGAACTCTCCCAAAGCACTAAAAAGACCCAAGACCCTATTTTGGTCAAATTTTGTGCGCCGCAGGCAAAATTTTGAAAAACAGGCCAAAAAGGCGTTCTAGGCACTTTTTGGAAAATTTTGACCAAAAATTCGCGTTTTTTGGCGCACACTCCCCCCCTCCCTCTCAAACTTAGTATATATTGGCGCCAAAGGATCCACCAAATATGGATATCTCAAATTAGTATTAAGAGGGGACCCTTTGGGTCGGCAGGAGGTCGAATCCCTGAGGGGGGGGGGGGGGGGGCGGACGCCCCACCCCTAAATCTGCCCCTGCTTTAGAACATAGTTCTTTCCCCCTCATCGCAGAATGGTTGGTACTCAAGGAAATGAAAAAATAAAAGAATCAAACCAAAAGCAATTGATTTGCTAGAAAATTATATTTCTAGCGGATCAATTGCTTTCGGTTTGAATCATCTTTCATTTTTTGTCTATTCTGATTCTTTTGGTTCCGATCATTCTCGAGATGTTACTTTGTACAACCTAGTGCACAACATGTCGTTCAGTATTCGAAAAGGAGTGGGCAGTGCTCAGGCCGACAAAAATCCAATTCAGCCGAAAAAGCATCGAAATGATCAGCGGTAAACTTCAAGAAATCGACTTTCCTTACCTCGCTCATGGAAACTAATTCATAGAAATAATGCTGCACTTCGCAAACAAAACAACATGAAAAAAACTAAGATGTACAAAAACGAGCCTGTAAGTAAAATAAGCTTTAAAAACCAAAGAATCGATTGGTTTGAAGGAAAAGCTCCAGATTGAATTTTTCGAACCTAATCCATTACGAAATGTTGATAAATTCAAATTTTGAGAAACTTTACCTTAAGTTTTCTAAAAAAAGTACTTTTTGAGAACCAGAAAAAAAACATCTCGAAAACTACCAAGATTTCAGCAGTCTTGTTTGATGGCAATATACGAAATCTTTGCAAGTACTCTAACAGCACACAACTAAAGGGTTGGGAATTTCACTTTAGTTTCCAAAAAAATCACAAAAATCGTCTCATCTCTTAAACTAAAAAAATTTAAGAATTCCTAATTGGAGGCCGAAATTGCAACCCCTGAGATTACTCAGACTGCCCCCAACTAGAGGTTAGGAATTTCAAACTTTGAAAAAAAAAATTAATTTAAACTTCATGAAATTTTTTTGAAAAATACAAAAAACGTCATATCTGAAAAACTGCAAGGTTTTGAGCAGTCACATTTAGAGGCAAAATTGGCAACTCCTGAGAGTACCCTGACAGAGCCTCACTACATAGATGGTAATTTCAAGTTTCGTAAATTTTTTTATATCTAAGTTTTGAAAAAAAAAATCCTAAAAAAGAGTCATATCTCGAAAACTACAAGGATTTGAGCAGCCATAATCAGAGCCAAGATCCGCAACCCTTGAGTGTACCCTCACAATATCCAACAACAGGAAGGAGATCTTCAACGTTTTGGAATCTTTTAAAATCTAAGTTTTTGAATATTTTTTTAAAAAATCATAAAAAACGTCATATCTCGAAAACTACAATGATTTGAGAATTGATATTTGGAGGCAAGATTCGCAACCCCTGAGAGTACCCTGACAGCACCCAGCTACAGGATGAGAATTTAAAAAAAGAGAAATTAATTTCAAAAATATCGAAAATTGCCTATCTCTTAAACTAAAAGGATTTGGTTATTCATATATGGAGGCCAGAATCGCAAAACCTGGGAAAACTCTAACAACATCCCACTATTACCTTGCTAATTTCAAACTTGATGAAATAAACACTGAATTTAAACTGGAAAATTGAAAAAAACCTTAACCATATCAACATACGATATAGCTTAAACGTGAAAAAAATCTTTTGCAAAACAAACAAAAATAATACGTTGAACAAACATGGCGAAATAGTGAAGCCCGCATTTAAATATATAATAGATTAAATATTTACGAATTTGACATGTGCGATTTAGTTGACCAGAAGACAAAGTTATTTGACGATTTAAGTTTTCTGAACCTGAGGTCGAGTATAAATATCAAATGTTTGTTGAAAGTTCATAGAGTTCAAATTAAATATCAGTAATATAACACTAGCCGCATAAGCTCGCTTGTGTAAGCAAAGTTAACTGAACACAAAATTTACGAAAAAATTGTCCGATTCCGATTGAAAAAAAGCAAGCAAGTAATATAACACAAGCGCTATAACACAAGTAATTTATCCCGTTTAATTCTTGGCATATAACAAGTCGAACATTTGGTTATTGTTCTCTTAGCAAATTCAAATCACGATCATTCCGCCTAGCCTATGAACAAAAAATATAACCCCAAATATGATTTTGTACTATTTTTGTACAAAAAACATAGCCCCCGAAATGATTTTGTACTATTATTTGCTGTGGCTGCTATATTAGGAAGAAAGATGCATAGAGGAATTTGGACCACTTGCGACACAAAAAACATAGCCAACTGACAATTGGAAGAGTAATGAGTGCAACGAACTAGAAAAAAACTGATTAATTTTTCGGAAAAATCTCAATGCTTAAAGCTTTTGAATTTCTAGAACAATTTATGACTGACAATTACTTGAATAAATTAACCCAATACGAGAAAACTGGATAAATAAGTAAAGTTTTAATTCCGCTGGGAAATCTGAACATTAAAATCTAATTTCGTTAATAGAAGTCAATCACGCTTTCCATGACAATTACATTTTTGCATATTGGATAAGAAAGTTTCAAAAGAAATCAAAGTTAAACCGTGAAAAAATAAACAAATTTGAGCGTGAACAAATTTTGAAGACTTTTTCCTATTAAAAATCGCCAAGAGCTATATAGAAGTCTTCAACACGTTCATGACTCGCAAACATATGGCAGTTATTAGGTGTTAAAAAAATTGACGGCAAAAAAAAGCTGCGGTACACTTCATGTAACCCAAGAAACTTCAAGTTATGCCAAGAATACGGGCTCAACCCAGATAGTCTCTAACCAATCTAATATTTAAAAAGCTCATTTGATCAATAAAAACCAGGCTAATGAATCACTAATTAAAAACATATGTTTTTCAAATGCTTGCAATAAGATACTATAGCCAACAGACAGTTGAAAAAAGTTAGAAAACGGATGGAACTAGAAATACTTGGGTTTTGAAAAATCCAACTCGATATTCAAGTTAACAGATACATGGCCTTCAAGCTCTTCGAAATTCAAGAACAATTTATGACACACTTTTTCAAAAACTTTATTTGTGAAAACTGGGTCAAATAGGAAATTTCGCATTCAGCACATTTAATGTGACCCTCGATAGTTGAGTTTGCCTTGAGAAAAGAAAACAAACAAAAAATCATCACGACCTATATGAGAGCCTTCACTACTTTCGTTGACTCTGCAAAATCATAATTGAAAACAAAGAAAAATTTCCACACAGAGGCGTAGCGGAGATTCGCAGCACTTGTAATACAATACAAACATGAAAAACATGTCGGAAAAATTTGAAAAGGTTCGAAAAACAGGAAGAACCAAATATTTCGTTGGTCTCGATAAAAGATACCTAGGAGCCCTGCTAACGCTGTAGGTAACTGCTATATACCTTTTACAATTGTTATACTGATACTGTATAAAAAGGGTAGCTTCAATCACCCTTCATCTCAGATTTGACAGAGTCGTTTCTAAGAAAAGTTTATAAAAATTCTAAACAATGAACTATGAATAAAAAAATTGACTTTTTCGAGATTCATACAATTTTGCGTAGAAAAGTTTGGGCGTATCCGCTTACGCAGGAGAGCTTCACGGTACAATTTACGTCGATTGAACCCAAAATCTCAGATTTGGGAGGGAAGTGGGACAAAAGAAGTTTCTCATAAACAGCTGTGGGTTGAAAACACAATATGAAATTATGGCAGTTTTCGAGAAAAGTCAAAAAGAATCAAAAAACGGTTAAAAAAATAATTATTTCACTATTCCGAGGGCCATAAATCTTTGTTCATAAAATTGGGACGTATCCATTTATGCAAGGAAGCTTTACACAATCCGTGCATTTCATTAAATCCAAGCCCTCAGATTTTTGAGAATTGACCTCAGTTCTTCGATAAAATCGTTAGAAATTTGACTGCTTCCTGTTTTGATCTCCTTATTCATTCCAAGAGGAGGGATTTCTTGATTATCACGCTTTACCAAAATGTGGTTGCATTTACAGGTTTCAGCAGCAGCGGGCTTAGGAAATATCAACTGAGTTTCTCTATTATGGGCGTTGAAATAATATTTCTTTTTGTCATTTGCCAACTTTTCTTTTCTAACTTTTAGTTTTGACATTTCTGAAAAAAACCACACTCTGCTACCGTCGGTATTTTAAAACATTGACTATTTATTATCTAGACTACGTCTCGGAATGGGAAGGGACTATGTCCAAGTGTGTTTTTACAAGCGATTATAGAATATGGGTCAATGACGAATTTGGGTCAAATATTCCCCGAAAAACTTTTTCGAAGGCTGCAGAGAGTGAATGAAGTGGAAAAAAATTAAGTAATTATGCAGAGGAGTGAGGCGTCTTTCCATTTTTACTTTTTTAAATGGAAATCGGTAGGTCAGTTTTTGAGAAAAACTAAACCTGTTGAAAAAAATTTATTAAGTTTTAAATTTTAAAAGAGTCTCAAAATATTAAAAACCCAATTCCGGATATTTTCATAATAGCGGTTGCAATCAAACAGGAACTCTAGCTTAAAATGCAGAGTAAGACATTTAAATTAGCAACGGAACAAAACTTACGAAGCGGAAACAATCTTTGATCAGACACCAGTTGAGCCGAAAACAAATGATTTTGTAAAAAAAATTTCAAGTCCCCTGAAACTATAATAAAAAACAGCACAAGAAAAATCGGAAATATGGTACTTAAGTCGACAAAACTTGAGCAGATAAACTTAAGTCCGACAAATCAATTTTTATCAAGTATTTAGTAGATAAATTTCATACATAACAGAAAATTTTTTAATTTCATAAAAACTGAAAAAAGCAAGGTCCTGTCGGGACTCAAACCCCAGAAATTAGACTGCAAAAGGCTCTAGGCTAATTAGGAATGCACTTGCCAATCGTTAGGGTTCAATAATAAAGTAAGATCAATTTCTTGCAAGAAAAATTCTTGGTCTCGCAAGTGTAATGATTTGATTCATCGTAACCAAAATAGATTGAATTTGAACTATTTAGTGAGCACATTTATGCAGTCATAAGATACTCACAGGGACCGACTCACGGGCCTTAAGGCCGCTCGAGGAGACGACCCAGAAATGAACCAAATAAAAAAAATTCAAAAACATTTCATCGAACTCAGTTAAGTGCATCATTACAGGAGTGAGTCAACGAGATTTTCAAAACTAGTAAAAATTACAAAAACGCGTCACCTGACGAAATATAAGTAGACAAACGATATTCCCACAATTCAAAAATTTGGTCCGAATTCGAACCCTGGAACCCCAGGCATGGCCGTTACTTGAGCCCCATTGTGCATAATGGGACTTGAATTTGAATTGATATCAAATAAAGCGTTCAAATGATTCAAGGATTCTCTCAGACAAGTTGTTAATCTGAAAAAACTCCATGTTACGATATGATAAGGTTTGTTAGTCGTAAGCGCAAAGAGCATATTAAGGTTATACAGTAGCTAACTTTTATAAACCAAAAGGTCTTTAGAAATATTTGAATTAGAATTTTAATGCATAAATACATTTAAGATGACATTATTACCCAAAATGAGTTTCTAATTATTTGGTTATTCGCAACCAGTGAATACAGTAGTTCATATTCGATTTATTCTATATTTATTATTTCAGCCAATGAAAACGTTCACTATCTGAATTTGCAGAGGCTAGTTTTTCTTGATAATTCTTGAAATGTGCATAATGGGACTTGAATTTGAATTGATATCGAATAAAGCATTCAAATGATTCAAGGATTCTCTCAGACAAGTTGTTAATCTGAAAAAAACTCCATGTTACGATATTATAAGGTTTGTTAGTCGTAAGCGAAAAGAGCAAATTAAGGTTATACAGTAGCTAACTTTTTAAACAGAAAAGGTCTTTGGAAATATTTGAATTAGAATTTTAATGCATAAATACATAAGATGGCATTATTACCCAAAATGAGTTTCTAATTATTTGGTTATTCGCAACCAGTGAATACAGTCGTTCATATTCGATTTATTCTATTCATTATTTCAGCCAATGAAAACGTTCACTCTCTGATTTTGTGGAGGCTAGTTTTTCTTGATAAGTTTTCTCCACTAAAATAAAATTTCAAAACTAATTAAAACTGTTCCAATATTAAAACCCAGGACCGACTGAATGCTTCTATAACACCAACTATTAAAGCACTGGTGAACCCCAATATTCATTTTATAGCCAGTCGAACAACAAAAGCAGGCAAACTAGATGCATGGAATTTCATCTGACTCCCTCAAGATATAATTTGAACAGACTTTTTAAGCGCAACATTGAATCGATAACATACACGACGATTGATTAAAAATTTAGACGCACTTTAAAGTCATAATATAACCAGTTATACTGGAAATTTTCTCTTAAGTAGGATTTGAAGATGAAGTGCACTTTTATGTACTTTTGATCCCTCTCCCTCGTGTGATTTGGTGGTTCTTCCTACTTTCGCTGTCTGGACCAGTGGATCGAAACTCGTTCAACATTATTTATTGCTTTTTTACTTTTCATTGGCTACTCGACAGTTACTGATTTGGCCAAGTTTCGAGGGCAGTCAACCTAAACACAAAATCGAAACTTACCCAAACATAAACTGATTCGCTCAATCCTTATGACTAAACGCTTTGTTTTTTTTAGAACAAAACTGGCTTTATCAAACTTGAAATTATCTAAAATTCAAATCGCATGCAACATTTCATAACTTCTTTTCGGTTTTTAAAAATGTTACATGCTTAAATTTGTCCATCAAATCAAAGTTAAAATCAAAAGCGTCCCCTATATCTCGATTTCAAAAAAATTGAATGCAAGTCAATTATCGAAGTAAAATTTTAGATTCAAACTCGATAGAGAGTAAACTATTTTATAGTTCCAAATCTGGTCCTTCGCAAAATCTTCTTCCGGATAAACATTGCACGATTTTCGCAGCTCATTGGCAAAGAAGTCTGCAAAGTACTGCATCACTCTAATAGCGCCAACAGAATGATTGACCGGGTCTTCAACTTCTGCGTACACAAACTGGTTCTTTTCTGGGTGCCACTGACTTCCATATATGGGCAGCAAATTGTGCTCAACTGTCGAAACAAATACTATTCCATTCGCATCCTCGTTGGTCGAAAGCAGGTTCCAAGTTGCGTTCATGTCTGAGTTTGATTCAAAAAACTTCTTGGATATCGAACGACTATGGAAATTTGCCGTGATCGGCTTGTTTCTAAGAGTCTCCATTAGCCAACCAGGTGCGTTCTCAAACATTCTAGATTTCTCCACGTTTTCTGTGAAGTTGAGTGGCAATGATACACCGTCGGTTCCATAGCTGAAATAGCGACATTCCTTTTCGCCGTTTAGAATGTAGGCAAGCACCTCGAAGCCCATGCAAGTTCCCCAAATCGGAAACTGTTTTCCACTTTCAAGATAATCTTGCGAGCTCCACTTCAGAAACAATTTGGTCGTGTTGTAGTAATCTCCAACATCTGGAAACAAACATCAAATTCAAGTACAATATTATAGACTAAAACAATCAAAAAACCAAAAAAATATATAATAACTTTAACATGACTAGAAGGGACGTGACAAAAAATCACAAATTCTGAACGCTCACTTCCCATTCAAAACAGATTCCTCCTTGAAAAAAAAATATTTTAACAATGCACATAAAGCGGCACTACTCCGTATCATCATGGCTAAACATCTTTATTGATTTGTATCAAACAAACACTTCATGCAACTGTTAACGATTTGACAAACAACTCACTCATGATGACGCCTCCTCCCGGCAGAATGAGTCCACTGACCCTCTTGTACACTTGGGCATAGTAAGTTTGTGATCTGTTCAGGAACACAGGCACCACTCGGATACCTGCCTGTTCTGCCCACTGCACGTACGACGCCTGAATGTGACTCGCTCCCTTTGGTACAAGACGATATCAAACACAAGTACTTGACAAACGACTGACATCTTCGATCGAGATTTCCATAATTAATCGATTTCCAAACTTTTTGTTTAAAACAATTGACTATGCTTAGACATACATATTTAGGCCGATTGATAGCTCTTTCGCGGTTCACAGGAACCTCAATTATTATGATTTTTACATAATCATTATGATGATTTTATTTTTTATTTTTATCATTCTTATTTGTACTAACGAGGGAAAACACCCGTGGCGAAGAAAAAAACGCATTTAACATTTAATTTAGCTTGATCCTAATTTGATAAGATGTATTCTTAGAAAACATTTTAAAAATTGGACCTAATCAACAAAACAAAAAATGCAATCTAATAATCTAATAATGACCTTATAATAACTGAAAAGAATATAATCTAACGGTCAATTCAAACTATTGCCGAAGCAATGTTCCATGCATTGAAACTATCATCGCGTCAGTACTTGAACTTGAAATCCCACCTCTTTTATGTCAGCTTTCGCCCAGCAATCTTCCGCCAATATTCCCACTACAGGCGAGTAGTTTTCTGCCACTTGGCCATTACATTGCACAACTCGACCCGGTTTGGTTACTTGAAAGGAGACTGTTTGAAGAATCGAAGAAACAAAAAACGACAGCTCGAGAAGACTCGGTATCATTTCTTCGTTCTTTGCAGTTAAGATTCTCTTTGAAACGCTGATTCTTTTTCCAACTGCCGATAAATGTGAATCAACGATATCAGGTTTAATAAGATAGTTTTGATAATATTTTGCCAGTTTAGGAGTGTTTAGAGAGATTAGGATGATAAAATAATCCAGAGTTAAGATATGACTATTTGCGATGAGGTATAATAATTTGATCAATCATTGGATAGATAAATAGTTTGTGTCACCACTAATGTGTGCAAATATTGGTCGGCAAAGTTTTCAGGCATATGCTATCTTCGAAATTGAAATATGGCACCAGTTCTTTAAAGACCTACTTTCTAAACAATATTTAGACACAGGCGAAGCTGGACTTCTCAAACACTAGCGGGAACACGGCAAAAGGCATCTCTATAAATTGCAATAAGAGAAAAGTAGAAATATGCCTCGATCTAGTAAAATTCGGCTATGTCTCGGATTCAATCTGCGACATAAAGATTATGAGTCTCACTCACTAACCCCTTAGCCACGGATGCTGAATAAATCTCAAACACTAGCCACATATAAAGCAGAGAACAGATGATATGAAATTTCCAATGCTACAGATCGTGGTTATAGCAAAAGTACCCCCAAATAAGCGAACACTTTTAATGAACACTTTTATTTGCGAGTTAGGTTAGAAAAAAAAGGTTCGTACTATTAACCTAACGCTCGCACGCTGGCGACAGTAAGAAGAACGACATAGATTCATATCCACTCAATTTAACAGATCTTAACTATGAATCACTCAATTAACTATATATCATTCAAAGCAAACGTTATCGTTCAAATTATCTGGATTGAGCTTGGTATCTTGATTATTAGCTAGCGACACATGAAAAACGATCTTAAACGCGCATTACGAGGGCAAAATGTACACTGGATCAGCTCATAATTTGGTGTCTGTAAGACACTGGAATGCAGAGACAAGTCTTTCACCATGGTCCAAAGATAAAGGGATTCTACTAATAAAATTTCCGTGGATTCCGCGCACAAATTTTTGTAGCGTAAATTTTGTCAGCATATTCGTTTTGTTGCGGATTCCGCAACAAGCGATTTAAGCTAATTGTTCCGGATTCCTCTAATGTTAGCGGATTCCGCAAATATAGGTGAAGTTGCTCGAAATAAAATTCCATTATCGAAATTAGAAGTCGATCATGTGTTTCGTGACCTTGACACCTTTGCTGTTCAATAGTGGAATTTGCCTTCATTTCAACAAAGGAAATCTAGTGAGCTAAATAAAACCGCGAAAAAGAACATTTGAGTCTGATCAAATTTATAGACTTTTCCTGAAAAACAGCAAAAAAATCATCAGGACCTATATAAGAATACTCACTGCATTCATGACTCTTAATAAGCGTTTCATACTGAACGTATAGCTAAATTTTTGCGCGATTTGTATTTCTGTTGTTGGAGAACCCTACTTGACTTAAGTTGCACGAGTGACAAACACAAGCGACAAAACGCAAAAAATAGCTTTAAAAGTAAAAAAAAATTAGGAAAACACAAATAACCCAGAGGCGATGCTGCGCTTCACAAACACTAGCAAGAACAAGACAAAAAGCAGCTCTATACAGTGCAATAAAAAAAAAGAAATAAGCGTAGAATAATTTTAAAAAATCGGCTACGTCTTGGGTCCCGATCTGCTACTTAGCGATTATGAGTCTCAAGCGCTAACCACTCAGCCACAGACACTTATTAAATCACAAAAACTAGCCACAAATAAAGCAGAGAACAGATACTATGAAATTTTCAATGCTACAGCTCTTGATTATGAGAAAAGAACCACCAAATAAAAGGATACTTTTAATGAGCACTTTTATTTGAGTATTTAGTAAGAAAAAAATGAGTTTTGAACAATTAATGCCCTTTATAGGGAACGGACTATGAGCATCCAATATGACTGCCCTACACGACTCTTAAAGAATCGAAATACTATGCGGCAGAAATATGACTTGTATTACAACAAATAAGCCCACAAGCTGGCTCGTGTAGTAAATGAAGTGGAAAAGAACTGAAAAAATTATCATGCTGATTGCTTACATTGAGTCCATTGCGTACTGCCACGTATAGAGATATGAGTTGGAGAGGTATGACTGTGAGGACGCCTGCGAGACAGTCCACTGTTTTGGGCACCCGGATCACCTGAGCCAGTTTGCAGTTGCCGTCTTTGTCAGTGGCCAGACGCACTATCTCTTCGTCCCCCTCTTCACAGATCAGAATGGGCTTGCCCTTAAATTGGTAGATTTGAAAAACACCGTGGATTGTTTCTTTTTCTCGTCTTCATTTCACTAGTTTTAAATTTATTATCAAGAATGAACAGTCAAATTTACGGTTTCTGCTGAAAGAAGTTGGAGATGTCATCAATAATTTTGTTAATAATATCCGGGTATGTTTCAATCTCATAAGTAGATTTGTTTATTTGATCTCAGTTAAAATATTTAGATTTTACTACTTGATTTTCAGCTTAGTGGGATCATTTCATAAGTGAATTGAAGCTTAACTTATAATTCAGAGCAATGAAATTAATTTCCTGTCACAATTTAAACTTTTATCAGTCTTTTGCTTTGTTTCGCTTTTGCCAAACCTGAAGCTTCGTTTTGATCATCTAAATATCGTCGCAAGCATTCCAACCAGTCAAATGATGCACTTTTTCTGATGACATAAAAAGTAATTTTTGACTTAAGTTGCAGTTTTTTCGTAGCATTGACTTCGCGTTGTCAATTTTCACGAAATCGCTCTGTAACTTTTTTTTCACCAAAATGTTTCCGTCTCGTATCAGTTTTGGGAGCAACAAACTCTCCTTCTTGTTGTTATTGCTGTAGCTTCACCGATCTATTTCGAGTCTTAGCTTGAATTGAAGAGATCAATTATGTTTGAGGGTTAGAGACAAATAGGGAATTTTTTTCTTTTTCATTTAAACTCACCCCTCTGGAGATGACTTGCTGCAGTGCATTTTGGCAGTTGACGTAGACTGAGTCTCTCACAGCAATCATGATGATGGGCATTGTGGCCTCCACCAGCGCCAGAGGTCCATGCTTCAACTCTCCAGTCATGATTCCTGTTCCAACAACCTCAGTGTTGATAAGAAAGAACTTCAAAAAATCATATTCGACTTGAGAATCGAATTTCCTTGCGATATTATCCCCATAATAATTGAAAACTAGAAAAATTGTTCATGAATTGTGAACAGTACTTGAAAAATCGCAGCTTAAAATTTTAATTTGCGTTGAAAAAAAACAATTAGTATTAATTTAACTTTGAAAGCACCTCTGCAGAACGTGAGGTGACAATTGATCGCAAGCGACAACTGAGAGCATTTCAAAAAGCCACAATTCATCGCAGATCAACTTACCATATTTATTATTGAACTAATTCGAAATACTTTGATTGAGCAATATACAGCAAACAAACGACCATGTTTCACAAACGAACTATTAACAAAGAATATTGAATTTTTGCTTTTCTAATTTGGACGAAATTTCGCCATGCCCGAAACGAAACGTTAGATCGGCCCCAGTTTAGATGAAAAATAAAAAAATATATCAAAGTAGACGTATCATTATTCAACAATAGAATTACAAAAATCATTGATTCTGTCAAAAAAAAATATTGAAAATTTTTTTGAGAAGATTATATTAAAAGTTTTGCCATAAATCTCGCAGGGAACTGAATAACCACTATTATTCCGTCAATTATCAGGAGCAGCGGTATAGTTCCTTGGAATCAACGTGCGACTTAACAATCAAAAATACTGAACGATAAATTTTAACAATTTACCGACTCAGTTGATATTATCGCGCAAGGTTGGTTTATTGTTCCGACCATTTGAACAATGGGGAGGAGCTTTGTATGCGTTCGTTTGTTTTTTTTTACTTTTGTTTTACTTTTTTTCCACGCAAAATCAGGTAACACAAATAATCATTGGACTGGGTTGAGTGTTATATCATATTAAAATATTCAGTCGTGATTCGAAGGACATAAAAAAATTTTAGTGTTGAAAAATCTGTTTACAATATTTGAATTTTGTGTTCTAAATTCGAGCTCATAAGGCGAGCGTCCAGACTTACAACAGCTTATTAGTGCTTAATTTAAGCCTTGAAAACTTAGTTTGACTCGATTAAAGTTAGTTTGAGGAGTTTTTAGCGCCATTTTGGAAATCAACTTGGAAATTCAAAAAAAAAATCTTATTTTTTTCATTATTCTTGTCATTTTACTACAAAAAAAGTTTTCCAATTGGCCTTATTTACTACGACTGATGAATACGCCCAAGTAATTTTTTTTCGTTCAGATCTTTTATCACACAACGCAAAAAAAACAGATTAAAATGAAAAAAAAAATTTTGGCAATTTTTTTACAACTATGGTCGGAACATTCTGTGCTAATTGCACAGTAACCGGCTATCCTTGAAACTTTTTGGATATTTATTCGGGGAACGAAGGCGAAATGACTACTACGTCCAAACACAGACTTGATGATTGAGAAAAAGCAACCAGTGACCTTTTTCCCACAAGAGAATGCTATCAAATATAAATTTGAGCTCATAACACAGATCAATAGTTTTTGGTATTTTATTTCGAATATATATTTTTATCTGTGGAATTAAACCAGCTACCATATAACACAGCCGGAAAAACTTTGGTTGCATAACATTGAAATAACAATTATGTATTTTTCCTAGTTCGGTGGTGTAAAGTAAGAATTCCAAGAAGTTTATTAAATATGTTTCTTTTGTTCTTTTTTATTGCTCAAATTTCCTGGCTGAGTTCCATATCTACCTATGACAGATTGAATGCACAGTCTTTAGATGTTCTCTTTAAGGCTGGCACTAAATGGCCTTCACAATGATAAGAAAAACATAAGACATACAACACAGAGGCGAAGCGGAACTTCGCATCACTTGCGATACCACAACAATGGCATCGCAAGCTAGCAGACAGGAAAGGAAAGAAGAGCCACTAAATCCAAAGAAAACGGAAAATTTTTCGAAGAAGCCACAACTAAAAAAAACTTCAAAACGTTGTCTGGAATGATATTTTAATTGCAGAAAACACGTCCAGAAATACATTCAATGAAAATTTAAAAACAATTTTCAAGCGAAAAGAAAAAAAATTCAAGAAAAATTTAGAACTACAAGTTCTATTCTGAAATTTCTAACATTTTGTTCGATCCGGAGGAAACCAAGTTATTTTAGTAGACCAATAAAATGTAAAACAAAATCATTTAGGCCAAAAAAAATGTTAGCAAAAAACATAAAAAGGAAAATATGCGAAGTCAAGGCTAGTAGAATTACAAATTGCAGGAGTAAATGAAAACATACAAAAAACAATTACAATGAAAAAATAAAAAGCAACTAAACGCAAACTGCATACAGCAAAAAATCTAAGATGTGGCAAGTAAGCCAACAAAACAATCAGACAATTAATAAGCCGACAATTTATTTGAAATGGATAACTTCTGTTTACAAAAAACAGGTCATGCTCAATCAGATTCAAACTCAGGACCTTTGCCATCCCAGTCGTATTGATTACCTCCAGACTCAGTGAACCGGAGACGCTTAAAAATTTGAATTCATTATGAAGCAAGAGAACAAGTGATTCTAGTGATTCAGTTCAACAAGTTGTTAACCCAAAAAAGTCTATATTCCGATTTGATAACGCGTGTTAATTGCAAGCGTAATCACATCAAGATTACTCAAGGTTACTGCAACCGCAATACCACCGTCTCGAATTTAACTTTCTATACTTAATTTCATAAATTTGAAATCTATTTTCGTGAAAACCTGATCAAACAACTTACACAAGTATAAGTTTGACTGACAGAACATATGAATTTCAAAATACTAAGATACTGTCGGTCCACCGACTGTTCGTCTATTTTCTACTCAAAATCTGGCTTCAATTGCTTCAGATAGCAAATTGCATTCCAATAATCTTTTGAACCAGACTTTTAAAAAACCTACAAGCTTAAGAAAATTAAATCTTCATATCTGCACAATCGTACACACAGAGTCGAAGTTGCACTTCGCATACACAAGCAAAACATGACCTATAACGCAACTGGGAAAAATTGAATGAGGAAAACTTTGAGTCTAAAAAACTTCAGAAGTGACGCACACCAATTATGAGTCTACATAATTGCTAAGTGACGCACGCCAATTATGACGCATTAGCAGCATCAGTCAATTTGAAAAAAAAAATTGCCAACTAACATGCTTCAATTTATAGAGCGGACGCATTTTAGCCAGCAAAAATTCAGTAAAACCATCCGATCCTGACCAGTTTCGCACCCTTATTTTATTGCGGGTCTCCTTCTTTACCTCTACGCTACAGATCCATTATACCTTGAAGCTAAAGTGCTATTTGTAACATAATAGTCTGTGCGAATATCCTTAGCAATGGCTGTACTTGATAGCTGGTTATTGATCAAATGATTCAAAATGAACACATTTTGTCGCAGCAATATTTGCGTCGCAACAATATTTGCGACTTAGGTTGGAGAAAAAAAGAGTTCATTAGGTTGGAGTAAAAAAAAGTTTGTTAATGGTGTATGCGAGAAACATATAATGCCTGATACTCTTGGGCGAGTAGGCAGTCAACAAAGTTTTATTTTCGCAAAGAAAATAAATAGAGAGGCGAAGCTGAACTTCACAAGCATAATGGACAAAATTCCAAGAAAAAAAACTTCAAAAATGTAGAAAAAAAAAAGAAAAGAATGGCGGAACTTTTGACTGACTTTTATGCTCTGTTCATTTTCAGTTTCTCTTTCGAACTGTTTCAAGTGCGCATAAATTACTTACCTTCCGAGTGCATGTATGTGATCTCTTTGATCTTCAGTGCACCCTCTAGACAGGTGGCATAGTTGTATCCCCTGCCCATAATCAAGAAACTGTTCTCTTTCTGATACTGCTCTGCTAGTTTCTTCAAATCCTCTGCCAGCTCCAACACTTTCTCTATCTTTTCTGAACACAACAATAATTCAATGAAGCCTGAACTAACGAATATTTTAGCTAGACTTTTTCTATCGCCAAAACAGGAGCTGAAAAATTATCTTCTCCGTCATCTATTGAGGCCAAAACTTTAAAATATTTCAACAACAATGAAGTATATGACAAGGAAAAATTGAGCGGACGGAAATTTTACCATAAAAAACTGCTTCGTAATGGTTGTTCAGGCGTAGCTAGCCCTGATTGTGTTCCTCAAAAATATCCTAAAGATGGAACAATTTTAAAGCCCTGATGTGCACGTAGAAATGAAATTAAAACTCGAAACGATAACTAGCGCTTTTAAATTATTTTTGTCACATTGGACAGGTAACTCTTTGAGGGAATAATTCATAGTTTTGTTCAGGGGCCGAATTTTCAAGAGTAGGCCGATTTACAGAAAAATTATATGTCGGCCAAATTGATTTTCCGAGCTCTCGCAAAATATTATGAGAATCACAAAAACTTCAGAGTTGGCTGCCGAAAACGGATGAAGTAAAATAGTTACTTTGGTTGACGCGGGAGTCAAATCCCTAAGAAAAAGGACTCCACCCCTCCCCCAATTATTTAATATAATTCTGAATTATTGAAGTTTTCATATTGTATTTTTCAAACAAAACTCTGAAATGGAAGGCAAAATCCAACCAATGTCTCAATTGTCCCAATTATTTGGCCACCAACAACAGCTTACTTGGCAACTTTTCCAGCTCGCTTATGATCGCTTTCCTTCTCTCCATCATCGATATTCTATCTGCACTGATCAAGAGAGCAAACATCAGCAGGGATATAATTTGACTAGTGTATGCCTTCGTGGACGCCACTCCTATTTCTGGGCCCGCATTAATATGCACTCCACAACTGGTCTCTCGGCTGATTGAGCTGCCGACCGTGTTTGTCACTCCAACACACAGTGCACCTCTCTTCTTGCAGTACCTCAACGCCAAAAGGCTGTCCGCTGTCTCACCTATAAAGCACTTTTATTCAATTTACAAAGCTTCTTCACAACGATTCAAATTATTAAGTTCTTAATTAACCCAGATGCAAAAATTTTTGTTCAAATTTTTGTCGTTTGCTTTGATAAGACGCGTGTGTTGAAATCCGACTATATATAAGATAAAAAATTCCTTTTAGAGATTCGACCTCCTCGTCAATTCATACTATTTTACCACCTCATTTTTGTTCCATTATGATAAATTTTCCATCATTCGCTGATTTTGCGCTCCCAAAAAAAGGCCATGAACAAAAAAATCCATGATACTATTTCACATCGATTGTTTTTTACGCAAAACATCATAGCAAAAACAAATCATTATACCTCACCTCTGATCACGTTTTCCGAGGTTTCGAAAAACTCACATCTATTCAGAATTGTACAAAACAACCATTTTTCAGATAAACAGCTGCGTCACTTGGCAGCAATTTAAAACTTAGTAGATTCACAAGTAGTTTTGCTTCTTTCTTACCAGACTGTGAAATGAAGAAGCAGACATCGTCTCTGAAAATAGGCGTGTGTCTATCCATGAAGTCGCTGGCTAATTCCACCATCACCGGTAGCTGGGACAACTCTTCTAGTATCTGTCGGGTGGCGAGAGCCGAGTGGAAGCTCGTTCCGCATGCTATCATGATGAGACGACGACTGCGTTTGATGTCGTCCAAGTGTTCCACCAGACCTCCGAGCACAACTGCAGATAATCAACAATTTTTATTGAAGAGGAAAAAAACATGCGCGTTTTGATAATAGACCTCTTATTACTGACTGTTAGTTTAAATCGTATGCAGCATTGTTCCCTTGCTTATTGAAATAATCGAGAACTAAGAAGAAGGGTTCTCTAGATTTGATGGATATCGGGCCTTTAGAATTGATCCTAAAAAGCGTGCAAATAAGCACTCTAATTTACGGCTGCCATTTTTTCTGCCTCTAGACTACTTTTTTTTAGATAATCAAATTCAACTTTTTTCTTTAAAAAAATAAACTCGACCAATTTATTTTGGGACATATTTGGCAAATAAAACCCCAAAAAAACAAGGAATTTGGCGACCATACTCTTAAAAAAATACATAAAACGCTTTTTTCATGTTTTTGTTCCGACCATTATTTTTGTTTTTTGATTTCCACGCAAAATCAGGTACCACAAATAATCATCGGACTGGGTTGAGTGATAGATCATATTAAAGCCATTTCAGTCGTAATTCGAACCACAATTAAAATATTCCAAAATTTTCCCACTGTCAAGAAAAACCGGTTTGAAATTTTGACTTTGTCTTAATTCGAGCGAATAAAGCCAGCGAGCAGGCTTACAACAGATAATTTAAGACCTTAAAACTTAATTTTATGCTAGTAAAACTCATTTTTGGAGTTTTTTGCTTCATTTTGGAACCCATAACTTCAAAAATTTCAAATTAAATTTTTTTTTCAGTTTTTCCAGTCATTTTTTTTACAAAATTTTTGTAATTTGCCTATATTACTCTGATTGGCTAATATGCCTAAGACCATGGTCGGAACATTCTGTGCTATTTGCACAGTAACCGGGCATCCTTGTTTTTAATTTAAGGTTGTTTTTTTTGCGAGTCGTGTGATAAATGGAACTGACGAAAACCTAGAAATTAGGAATATTCGACATTCAGAGTAAAAAAGGCCAACCGGACAACGGTTTTAGTAAGAAAAATGGAGAAAAAATCAAAAAAATAAATTTTGTTTATTCTGAATATGGCGCTAAAAACTTCGAAAAATAAATTTACTTAAGTTAAACAAAAATTTCAAGGTGTATTATTCCATAATAAGCCTGCTCGTTTGCTTTTCTCGCTCGAAACTAGACTAAAACTCAAAATATCAAACCAGTTTTCCTCGACACTGGGACAACGTTTTGAAAATTTAAATAAATACAAATCACGTAGATGTTGTAAATTCAAATAAATTGTAAATAACGTTCGAATCACGATTGAAAGGGCTTCAATATGATATATCTCTCGAACCATTCCGATGATTATTTATTGTACCTGATTTTGCGTGGAAAAAAAAGAAAACAAGGATAGCCGGTTACTGTGCAATTGGCACAATGTTCAGACCAAAGGGTTAAAAAAAATTTTGCGAATTATTGTAGTTTTTCTCGGCGTGGTGTGATAAAAGGAGCAGAACAAAAAACTAAGTATTAGGTATATTCGACAGCCATACTAAAATAAGCAAATTGAAAATTAATTTTTGCCGAAAAATTACTAGAAAAACTATTAAAAAAATCAAACAAAAAATTTTCGAATTTGATTCCAATAAGGCGCTAAAATACTCAAAGTAAACTAACGTTACTCAAGTAAAACTAAGTCTCTACGTTTTAACTTAAACTATTGTAAGCTTTTAAGCAATTAATCAGTTAAAATAAAACTGCTCGCTCGCTTTATTGGCTCAAAAATCAAAAAAAGACAAATAAAAAATTCGCTCGAAAAGTTATTCGATCAGACGAAAAATTTCAAACCGAGTCCGATGATTATTGGTGGTACCTGATTTTGTGTGGAAAATAAAAAAACTAAAACACACCCGAATACAAAGTTCCTTCCCATTTTCAATGGTCAGAACAAGAAGTAAAACACACCCAAATACAAAAATCATCCCCATTTTCAATGGTCGGAACAATAAACGTAGATTCAGATAAAAGAACATTCCAAAGTTACACATACGCATTTTTTGCGAAAACAAATAAGCCAGCTAGAATGGTCGGTTTAGGAGAAGAACGGTCTAAGAACTGCACGAGCGCAAGAGCAGATCAAAAAATCTGATTCATCAAAACAAAATTTATTTGCACTGTAGCTGAAACTCTAATTGAAACTCTAAACGCTAATTGACTACACTCTTTGTGCAATAACAAGATTGGACAGGGCTTAGTACTTAAACGGACAAGCAGCCCTAATGAGTGGGAAACTTGACACAAACTTTTTATACAGCTAGTTATTTACGAACAACACTTAAGAGGAATTTAAACTTACTAGTTAGTTAAGCCTTATGATCCCCCAAAGACTTTCATGGGGGACAAGTTCACACTGTCCTAAGGTTGGAATTTTCAGCCAGTTTCAATTGAAAATTGAGTATTTAACAAGCGCTTAAGCGCTAAGCAATTTTAATCCAAGCTAGATAGTGAGCTGAAGAGTCTTCTCTTGGTCTATTCGTGTGTGTGTGTGCGTGTGTGTGTGTGTGTGTGTGTGTGTGTGGGGGGGGGAGGTGGGGGAGGGGGGAGGTGGGGGAGGGGGGAGGTGGGTGTGCGCTATCTTTATCTAATGCCAGTAATGTGCTCTGCTTACCTTGTCCGGTCTCGAAGTTCAATCTTCCTCGCATGGTGTTCACCACTGACTCCGGCTGTTCGAAGATCTCCTTCTCCATGAAATAGTTGTAGCTACCTGTCAACATCAAAATAAAATTCCAGACATTGCCATCTGACAGTTTGGAAAAGAATAATGAACGCAAGGAAACTGGAAAAATTAACTTTTGAATTTCGAAGAAAAAAATAGATGGCCTAAAAGCTCTTTTAATTTGTAGAACAATTTATAATGGACATTTTTTTGTTAAAATAAACCCAATTTGAAAAAAACTGGATCAATAGATGAAATTTTTATTTGGCTGGGAGATCTGATTATTGGTTTCCACTTTCGAAATAAGAAGTCGATCATGTTTTTCGTGACCTTTACACGTTTGCTGTTCGATAGTGGAGTTTGTCCTCCTTTTAACAATGGAAATGCAGTGAACATAAAAATAAATCACCAGCCAAACCGCAAAAAATCAAAATCAGCAAGTCCTATATAAGAGTACTCACTACGTTCATTACTCTTAAAAAAGAATTTAGCAAAAAAAGTAATCAATAAAAAATTATGACATTTTAAAATCTGTTTCAACTAATTTAAATTGAACCAGGAAAACCTATAAATAAGGGACTGTAAATTCTAGCAACCAATTACAAAAATTTGGTGATATATTACAATAGGTGGTAGGTTCGATTTCAATACTGGAACGTATAATTGATTGAAAATGAATTGACTTTATCATGCATCAAAGTCAATACATGCACTATACTCAAAATTACCACCTATTGTAACACATCACCAAAAACTTTTCCTAAGAAACAAAAAACGAACTAAACAAGGATAGCTGGTTGCTGTGTAAGCAGCACAGATTATTCCGGCCATATTGTTATAAACTACTACCCAATTTTTTCAAAAATTGCGTTTTTTTCGTTTTTCAATTCCCGGGTAAAGGCCTCAATTTTCGTCATTAAATTCCCAGGTTAAGGCCAAAATAGTATTTGATAACTATTTCAATTGAGTAAAACTAAGTAATAGTTATTTAATTAAGTTAGGTGTAAAACTATCATATTCACAGAGGCGTATCTGCGCTGCGCAAACACCAGCGAGAACACGACAAAGCAGCTTTATAAAAAGAAATATGAAAAGATAGAAATAAGCCTCGAATTAGCAAAACTTCGAGAATTGGAGTCTCACACTCGGCGACCAACGCTTAACAACCGGCAAACACTAGTCATAGAAAAGCAACTAAATATGCTAACACATTTCCACCAAATAGAGAAAGACACAACTTTGGGAGTTATAGTTAGGAATACATCAAACTGAAGGCATTCACACTAATTTTGCATGGAAAAAATTGGAAAGTATAAAACCACCAAATGTACCCAGAGGCGAAGCTGAGCTTCGCACCACTTGCCATTGAAAACAAACATCGAAAAAGAAAACATTGAAAAAAACTAGTTCAACAAAAAATTAATTTTGCGTATCTCTAGATAAAAGTTCTTTATAGGTTAACATGCCAGAAATTTGAGTATTAAATTAGCAACGGAACAAAACTTTACGAGGAAACAAACGAGGAAACAAAGCCCACAATCTTTGAGCGGACAACTTCAGCAGAAAAATATGATTTCATAAAAATCTTCAGTTTTAGGTCCCACCTGAGACTAGTAAGAACAACACTTTCACATGTAGAAACAAAAAAAAATCCAGAAAACTTCAAGAAAAAATCAGTAATGTGTCAACAAAGCTGACAATCTTTGAGAGGACACTTATTGAGCCAAAAATTGATTAAAAAAATTCGAAAGTTTCCACCTCCCTGAACACTTTAAAGAGCAACACAAACTTTTTGTTCATAGGCGAACAGGAAACAGAAGTTACTTCACTAGTTTTTTATTTTGTTGAATTACCCAAAATTGGACAAATTCAACCTGATTTGCCTAATTCATTTTCTGATTTGCTGGCAATTTAAGCTTGTTTTGTTTTCGTGTTTCAAATGAAATGGCTATTTTTCAAAAAGATATGGAAGAAGAAGCGATGAACCGATATTTTCAATTGTTGTAGAAAGCCTTCAAAAAAATAAACAAACAAAATTGCCAAAACTCATAAACTCAATTAGTTCACCGCAAAAAATGAAAACAACAGCTGATTGAACAATCAAACTCATCACATGCTTGAACAAAATTTATTGAGCAAATTGAAGGAAAAAAATCGAAAAAAATAAAAAAACTTTCAAAAAAGAGATAATCTTTTATTGTTGAAATTTTTCACTTTTATTCAGAAAAAAAAGTCTGGAAAATTGATTTAAATTTTTCCCAAAACATATTATAAGACTTCAAAAATTCTTTAAAAAAACAAGAAAGAATCGGAAAAAAAATCATTTGGATAATATGCCGACGGAAATAAAGCCGACACTAAAAAAATACTATTTAAGAAACTCATAACAGGCGCTAACAAGGCCCATGCTTAAACTGCACCCACTACATTTACCTCTCCAGTAAAACACGTGTTACATTTATACATTTTCACGTGTGAAATCTGTGCCTAGGTATTTACTGGGAAAAGTCTAGTACCCGATTGCAATACCCTTGCTTACCGCAAGGGTAATAAATTATGTATTTCAAAAAACTGCGCGATATATTGAATTACAAAAAATCTGAAATCGAGTTTTTATTATTGTTATGATAATTGAAACAAAAAACGTTTTTCGGTTCATTTGGTAAATTTAAAATGTATCAACTGTGCCAGCTTATTACTATTCGAATGTCACAACATATGCTACGAAAAAACTGTAAAGGTGCCCCAAAAGTGGCACAAACATTTGCGGCTTTAGTTAGAAACGAAAGAATAGTCACTAAAGTTCTCTAGTGTAATAAGCCTATTAAAAATTTGACGAAAAATCTCTCGCTCGAATTACACAAAATCGGAAATTTCACACCGGTTTTTCTCGAGACCTCAGAAAAAATTTTAAAATTGAAAAAGTTTACTGAAAAATAACAAAAAGAAAAATCATCAGCACCTATATTGGAGTCTAAGACTAATACAAATTCTGTTGAGCCAGAATCGAACCCTCGACCTCGTAACTAAGAGTTTCACGACCTCGCATCTGCTCCATGGGCGCTTGATACAAAGATAGACGGCTAATGCGGCAAACGCAAACCGGGTATAATGTAAGTGCAGCAAAATCATATATAATGCTTTTGCAGCAAGTGCCACCAAACTAATAAGCAGTTTGATTTGCGACTTGTTTTGGAAAAAAAAGGAATTCGTAATATTACAAGCTCCGCTGAAACAATTCGACGCCAATTTTCAAACTTCGAAAGAGCTAAATAAAAGTTATCCGCATCTCAAATAATGCTCTTTTTCCAAGTTGAATTGAATGTCAACCTTTCATGATCTCCTCCAGTTTCAATTGCAATGTGTTCACAGATCTGAAGTCTTTCTCATTTGCGTGCTTCTTCTTTGTCCTCATTATGTGCAGTCCTGAAACGAAGCAGACATTTGCCCATATTTTCGATCATTTATTTTGAGATAGTGCATTATGTTTAATTTTTCCAGCGTACGTACAATTTTTTGGTTTTTAAGTTTTTTGAAATCTGAATTTTTTTTTACTCAAAGTCATTTACTACAGATAATAATTTGTGCGGATCGAGTGATATGTCATATTAGAGCACTTTCAGTCGTAAAATTACCAAAATTAGAAAATTTTTGATAAGTATTGCCCAGAAAACCCGGTTCGGAAATTTTGGTCTGTCGTCTGTTTCAGTGAGCAAATAAACCTTTAGGAAAATGATCTTTTATTTAAGCTGTTATTTTAATTTCTTTTCCAGAAAAACGAATGATCGGGTCTTCTTACAGCGCTTCATTGGTAATAAATAGATTTCTAATCGAGGCGGATCCAGGATTTTCTCGAGAGGGGGGGGGGGCGGATTTTCAAAAGAAAATGGACGAAAAAAGTGGACAAAACTGATTTTCCGAGCTCCCAGAACACCATAAAGACCATATTTCGACCAAACATTTTGCTCAGCAAGTAATTTTTTTATTCCGCTGGGAAAACATAATGAACAGATTTTTGGAATAGAGTCAATAAAGGCAAGGAAGCCGAAAAAAAAGAAATTTTCAATTTTTGAATTTCAAAAGAAAAATTCATGGTCTCAAAGCAAAACAAAAAACAAATCAGCGAGATCTATAAAAGAGTACTCACTGCGTTCAGTGACTCTTTACCATAAATTCAAAATCCAATTTCAAAACTAAAAATAGATAACAATTTTTCGCTTTGCGGAAAAAATCGCCGATTTCGCTTTTCTAATTAAAAAAATAACTTGAATTGAACTCAAACAGTGTATAATTACCTATATCATTCATAAATGCATTAATATGAATGGTGCACTTCTGTAGTTATTGAAGCATATGAAAACTTTTTCCAGAAAAAAAAACAAGGAAACGGAATAATCATCAAGACCTGTATAAAATAAATTCAATTTGCTCATTTCTACTAAACAAATTATAGCCAACACAGTTAGAAACGAATCAATTAAGGAAAGTAGGCAAAAAACTCTGACTTGATTTTTGAACAATTTATGACCAACACGATCAACAATTTATGACCAACACGTTCTTGATAACAATTACCACAATTCGAGATAAGTAGATCAATAGGTAAACTTTCTACTCTGCTGTGAAATCTGAAAACTTAAATCCACTTTCAAAATTAGAAGTCGATCACGTTTTTCGTGGCATTTACATTTTGTGGTTCGATAGTGGAATTTTTTCTCCTTTTAACAAAAGACACGAACTGAAATTGAAAAGAGATCAAGTCAAACCGTGAAAAAGTAAATTTGAGAGAGAACTAAATTTAAGACTTCAAAAAAAATCATCGCGACCTATAAACGAGTCTGAAGTACATTTTTCGACTCTTAAAAAAAACTAAAAGACATCATAAATTTGAATTTCGAAGAAAAAAGAGATGCTTTTAAAGCTCTTGTAAATTCTACAATTTATGATTATCAATTTTTTTATAATCATAAACCCAATTTAATCAACTTTAACCCAATTTTAGAAAACTAGATCAAGTGGTAAAACTTTATTTCGCTGGGTAATCTGATAATTGAATTTTGGAAATCAGAAGTCGACCACGTTTTTCGCAACTTTTACATTTTTTGCAGTTCAATAGTGAAGTTTTCCTTCATTTTAAAAAGAGAATTGAAATGAACTTGAAAAGAAATCAAAACTCAAACCGCGGAAAATCAAGATTGAGCCTGAATAAATTTTAAAATTTCTTCCTGAAAAAAAAACATCACGGCCTATATGAGAATCTTCACTACAATCATCGAGTCCGAAAAATTGATTTTCTCAACATTCCCATTTTTGTATTTTGAGGGCATAATTACTTTCATCTGCCTTCATAGCATTTGAATTGGACTTAAAAGGAAACCAAAAGTCAGACGGCAAAGATCAAATTTTAACAGTTTACACAGAGGTGAAGCTGTGCTTTGCAAAAATTAGTGAGAAAACGACGAAAAGCAGCTCTATAAAGTTCGATAGGAAAAAGAAGAAGTAAAAAAGAAAATTGGCTTCGTCTCGGGTTCGAACCAGCAACCTAGAGATAATGATCCTCACACACTAACCACTCAGCCAGATACACTTAATACATCACAAAGACTAGCCACAAAAAAGCAGCGACGAGGGGCTACCCAATTTCTAGGTTTGACACGGTATTTCTCGAGAGAAGACGAAAAGTTTTAAAAAAACGGTCAAAAAAATCAAAGTTTGACTTTTCCTAGTGCCATTAATTCCTGTGACAAAAAAATTAGGGGTACTCACGTATGCAAAGAAGCTTCGCACAGCCCATACTTAGATTGAACCCAAAATCTCAGATATAGGAGGGTATTTATCGGTAATAATCATAAAATTTACAAAAAAAACGCTGAAACAATAAAAAAACGCTGAAAAAATAAAAAAAAAATTGACTTTTCCGAGGACAGTAAATTTTTATGGAAAAAATTGTGAATGGCTGTTGTTCCAGGTGAGCTTATCACTACGCGTTATCTCCATCGAAACCACAACCTCAGGTTTGGGAGTTTAGTTTTCGGGAAACGTCGAAAAGATTCAAAAAAGGGTAAAAAAACGAAAAATTCACTATTTTTTCCGAGGGCCATAATTTTATGCCAAAACTGATTTTGAAAAAAAATTTCAAATTTTCCTAGCATGATCAAAAACGCCTATATGATCCGTACTAATTGAACTTGAATAAGTGATTCAACTGATTTTGCTAAACTAGTTGTTAACCCGAAAAACAGTCTACATTCCGATTTGTTAGCATAATGACTCAATTTTTTCGTTTATCTTTTTCCATAGTTCTTTACAAACACTTACCCCCTGCGTTGTCCACATGCGCAATATCATTGTCTTCCAAGTAAATTACTTTATTCGTGTGCTCAATCACAGCACTGGCATCTGAAGCGAAGAAATACTCCACTGGCGTTTTACCTCCCAATTTGAACTCCCCTGAACCGGCAGAAGCGGTCATTGCAGTGCCTGGTGATATGCGACCGTTAATGTTCGTAGTTCCATTCGGTAAATCTCCCCCTGAATGGCCGCTAGGAGAGGGGATTTCGTTTCTGTTTACTCCTGATGATGAGGTCCGATCTGAAAAAACGTCATTTTTTGGACCTCTCCATGTTGTTAAGCATTGATTTCTCGCTGACTTCAAGCATTTAGCGAAGCAATAAATAAGCGGAAGTTATTAAAAGCAAATTAATTTTTTTTAAAGGCGAGCAAGTTCATAGTAAATAACTAACACAATTACTGACGGTCAAATTAATTCTAGTGTTCAAAATTCGAAACAATTTTTTCGAAAAGTTAATAATAATACTTGATTAAACAAAGTAAACAAACGTCAGGGAAACAGATGCTCGCGTTGTCTGTCCTCTTTTCTTCTCATAAAAAAACTCAATTTTTTGACTGGAAGAATAATTAGTTTCTTCCTTTTGTGATCTTTAAAACAAATCATGCAGTTAACAGACATAAACAAACAAACAGGCATCAGATTACAGCTATAGTTCTAGAAAACGCAAAGCGAAATTTCTACATTAACTGTTGTTGTTTAAAAAACTACCATACAGTTTGTTTAACAAATCAGAACATAAAATTTAGTCGTTAACGGTTCCCCGTCCCATTCCATCAAAAAGCGTTTGTGGTACAACCCCAACGCTAAAAAAGACCAGAGATGAGACAGTAAATATCGTTCTGAATATCATAGAAGTCGATTTAGGACTAAAATATGATAAACAGCAATATGACATTTTTCAAAACAAAAAAAAAACGATTGTTTCAAATGGTTTTCCATAAGGGTAATTCAATCCCAGCGGCAGATTTAGCGGGGGGCGGGCGGACTCCTACTCCCTTATGGATTCGAACCCCCTTTGTACTATTTTGAGATATCCATATTTGGTGACGGACCCTAAAAGTTTTTTAAAGGCGCCAATATGTACTATTTTTAAGGGGGAGCGCGCGCCCAAAAAGCGCAATTTTTTGGTCATAATTTTCCAAAAAGTTTCTAAAAATTCCTTTTTTGGCCTCCTTTTTTTCAAAATTTTGCCTGCGGCGCAGAAAATTTGGCCAAAACAGGGCCTTTTTAATGTTTTAAGAGTGCTAAAACTCATTTGGTCGAATTGAAAAAAAGGTCGACAAATTTATGCAAATCGGCAACCCCCCCCCCCCATCCCCCCCCCCCACCCTCGAGAAAATCCTATATCTTCCCCTGTCCAATTCTGTTCAGTTTTACAGCATAATCTGATTTTTGTGTATTATGAACTGTCTCCAAAGTCGATATATCTTTGGGTGAAAAACTTCTCTTGTTATTCATTTAAAGACAGAGAGAGGAGGGATGTGACAGTGAGAACCGCAACTGTAAATTCTTATCGATTTCAACATGATATCAAAAAGGAACATCGGCTTTTTCTCATTATAACCCCCACAATAAGAAATCTTAGCTCAGCGATATTTTTGGAGGGGGCGTCTATAATGGGAAAGAGCCGGCACATCGACATGCTCCGTTCAATATTTATTTGACTTCAGTTGATTCTGACCTTGACTCGAGTGTCCATTCACAACCCCATGACTCAATGGAGAGTGGGGATGATCTATCGCTCTAGGCGAGTCAGACATCGCTAAAAGTGGTAAAGTGTGACTGACTTTTCTTTTCCATGAGACTTGAAGCCCGAGTAGAATTATTTTAGGACTAAGAGCGTATTTGAATGTTTGAGAGACATGTTTTCACTAAATCGACCAATTTAACTCCAAAAAGGATACTTTTTGAAAAAATTTAGGAGTTACACTTTCTAAACGATGGATTCCGATTCTTCTAAAACGATATGACCAAATAGGTTGTGTGGTGGCCTCTTTGAACCCACTCGTCGCCATCAACTTAACGAGAATCTCGATGTTGCAAATCTCATCTTAAAAATCTGTGATGAAATGTGATTTCAGATTCAAAAGCATCAGTGTACAATTCAGTCTGAACCACACACTCAGTTTTGCTAGACTTCATGTCTCAAAAGAATTTGACCATATGAATTGCTAATAAAAAGATGAATTAAAACCAATGATGGGGGAATGAAAACTCTGCACTAACAGTCTATCCCACAAACAAACTGATCAGCAAAAAACTTGGTTCGGTTAAATTTTACGCTTGTGAGTCACTAACCAGAGGAGTAGAGGATTGGGAAGTATTCTGTGAGCATTTCTACGTCGGCTTTGATTGCAACTATCAGTGGACTGCCTCTTCTGAAACACAAAAGCAATTCAGGACAGAATAAAACTTACAAAAAATTGGGGTACATAAGTTAATCGCTGAAGTAGAAAGGCGAACCAAAGCTTCTCAATTGCACCGAACAAAATTGCTTGGTATAATTCACAACACTAAGAACTATTAAAGACTACATTAACTATTTAAAAAAACCTTGCTAGAAATGAACTAAAATCAAAATTCAATTCCAACAACCGCGAAAAAGTAAATTTGAGCCTGAGCAAAATTTGATACTTTTCTTGGAAAAATCATCATAAAAGAGTCTGAACTACGTTTAACAAGTAGAAATTTTAACAACTGGATCATTGCGCATTTATTGTTCTGCTAAGTAATTTGAAAAAAAATTTCGTTACCTGGACGAAAGCAAAGAGCAAACTCCACGCGAAAGCAAAGAGCATTAGCTAAGTATTTGCAAAAAGTATGGAAAACGAAACACACAAAAGTATGGAAACGAAGCATAGTCAACAGACATTTGGAAAAAAAACAATGAATGCAAGAAAACAGAAATTGACTTGAAAAAAAATTGAAATTTTTATTTCAGAGCAAAAAATATAATAGCCTTAAATCTCTTTGAGGTTATGATTGACGCTTTTTTTGATAAAAAATAACTCAATTTGAGAAAACTGGTAAAGTTTTCATAGCGCTGAGATCTGAAAACAAATCAATGTTTAAACATAGAAGTCGATCATTTTTTCGTGACCTTTACACTTTTGCTGTTCGATAGTGGAGTTTGCTTCCCTTTGAACAAAAAAATTAACTGAACTTTAAAAATGTAAAAAAGAACCGTGAAACTGACTTTTAGGTGGGTTTATAAATTCGAGGGCAACAAAAAAAACTATTTTTGTTTTCAAAAATTTTTGATTTTCAGAAAAAAAAAAGACAAATCCCGATTATCGTGCCATTATTGAAAGAACGCGAAAAAAGAAAAAAATCAAAAAAGAGAAATAATACTGGAAAAAAAGAACTAAAAAATTGCGAAGAAGCTCTTCAGCATAAACATTTAACTTAGGGAAGAAAAATTAACTTCCGGAATAACTTCCTAGACGTTTACCAATACAGAAGCTCGTATGTTGCTCCTTCCCTTGAATAAATCGTTTTAACAGAAAAGAAGTTACACATTCCATAAAAGTAAAAAATATATATTTTTCTTCATCTCTGAAAATGTTTTACTTCTAACTCAACTAATGCAATCGAAACATTGCAATGAACAGCAATAATACAAAAGAGGCTGCGCACAGGACTAGTTTCGTGACAAGAGGCACACATGTTTCATGACCTTTACACTGTTCGATAATGGAGTTTATCTTCCTTTAAATAAAAGAAATTAGCTGATTTTAAAAAACAAATAAAGTCAGACCGAAAAAAAAATTAAATTCAAGCCTGAACAAGTTTTAAGCCGGGACTTTTCCGGAAAAAAACGAAAAAAAAAATCATCACGACGTATATAAGAGTCTGAAAAACGTTTATCGACTCTTAATAAATCAACAAATAAGTGAGTAAAAAATTTGATTTAATAACTGCATACCTAGTCGCGATAACTTGATCCGGAAATTTATTGCTTTTGAATAGGAATGCAAATGCGCCGTCGATCATGCCAATTAAGGTCTCCACCAGTTCTTGGAATGTCGTGGAAGGGTTTTCGTTGTAGATATAGAGAGCTAATTTGGCAACAACCTAAGCAACACAATCAACTATCTGATACTAGGCTTGAACACATGCGAAGCTGCGCATCGCATACACAACCAGAAAACCAAAGAAAAAAGTTACTAGTAACGAAAGTGCCCTCCCCCGGTCTTATGTACTAGGCAGCCCAAAATCATTATTTCTATATCTTAACCTGAAAGTTAAGCGGTCGAATCTGATTGGCTAATTTTAGCTAAGCAACGCGGTCAGGCATCTCAATCAACATTTCCACATAAAAATATTAGCCGAAATTACCAAACAGGTAGAAATTTGTCAAATAATTAAACTAATTTCAAGTCACTTTTGAAACTTCCTCCAGCCGAAACAGATTCAGTTAAATGTTTTCAACAGAACAAAATTTCTACACTTTCGGTCGGTTATTTCGGCTAATCATTTATCTACTTGAAATGTTACATGAAATCCGGCCCATATTTGAATTTCATTGACTATGTAGCCAACCCTATTCAACCACATTAATTTCAGTTCAGGCTCAAGCTGTAGAAATAAAGATTTTGAGCCGTTTAGTGCATAAGATTCACCCCCGCCCATTATTAACAGAACTTGCCGCCAAACCACCTACACCCCCCCCCCCCCCCCCCCCAGATAGTGAATCACTATTTTTCCTTTCTTTGAACGAGTGAAATGTAACAACAGCTCCTTCTCCTCACCTCAGTGTCTGTTTCGCTCTCGAAGTCCGTGTAGCCCTTCTCCACGAGGAAGTTCTTTATTGCCATGTAGTTTGTCACTATACCATTGTGGATCACCACAAATGCTGAAACAAGCAGAATATCTATTAAAAGTAGCAGACGCACCCCCCTCTCAGGTATTACACGCCCTCGCCACTTATAGGATCCCCCTTTGATATCATTGTACGAGATCCACTTTTAGCTGGCCTACACTAAAAAATTTTGAGAAAATTAAATCCGCGTCTATTGAGCAAAACATTTCAAGTGCTATTAAACAATGTATGATTAATATTAAATTTTGAGAATTCTGTTTCCCTTTAGTTTTATTAATTTAAATAATCCTAATTGCTTCTAGCTGCGGCAACAATCGGTTTAATTCCAGCACTGCCATTATCACTTAAGCTACTCATTTGACACATCGGGTAGTTTTACCAAAGTTTCTTTAGCAGATGATTTGAAAAACGTACAAACTGCTCATTAGCATTTCGCATTGATGCGATACATGATAACACCTCATACAATAGCTTTGACATTGACACGAACTGTCAAAAAAGTGAAAACCACTAACAAAAGTTAACGTTTGCTGCCAATTTCAGAACAACAGTCTCAGGTGCTTAATTATCAACCAGCCAATACATGATTTTGCCTTAAAAACATAGGACCCCTGGTAATAAACCGCCCCTCCCCAATTTGAAGCACCCACCTCGATAAATCGAGACCTCCGATACTAACGATCCCCCACATAATTTAGCACCTAAGAGTAGTGATGTGAACAGTTCTTTTTGACTTACTGTTATTTGCATCTGATCTGTGAGGGTGAGAGTTTCGGGGTGCCGGTTCCCCGTGTGTGGCCCACCTAGTATGGGCTATTCCACAATGAATATTGCACACTTCGTCCATATTTAGCTCCTGACTAACATTCACTAACTTCTCTAATGACGCCACCTGTCAATCAAACTATGCATCAGTTAAACCTGTGAACAACAAAAGAAAGGGAGCTGTGCTGAACAACTGAAATTGGGATTTGATGCTCCCAATTCAAACAAAAAACACAAATGCAATAAAACAAGGATCAATGTCGCATATTTTGCTCGAACAAAACTTGTTCATAGACAACAATTGGTTTGTAAATGAATATTTGTCCAAACTACTTATCACCTACCCACCACATTACTTCCTTAATCAATTGCACTGACATTGGAACAAAAAGATAGCAGCAGGGACTGGTTAATCTAAAATTTTGCGAGGAAGGCGAACTTTCAACATAAAACAGAGCTTCGCACAAGTTGCGATAGAACACAAGCATACCATAACAATCTATCGGGCTCAAAATAAGACGAAAGACTTAAAATGGGTAGTAAGTCAAAAGAAATTCGAATCAATTCAGCGGATGTAATTCATGCAGTTTGAACAATAACGAACAAAGTTTTGGAAAAAGCTGTGCAATGAAAAGAACAACTAAGATCGAAAATGGTTGAAGTGTAAAACAAGAAAACTGGTGGAAAATGTTTGAACAACAATCAACTTTCAAAAAAAATTTTGAAACCGGTTTTTCTCGTCATTGGGACAATTTTTTGAAAACATTTTGATGTCGATCGAATCACGACTGAAAGGGCTGATGATAACAAGTCTGATGATTATTTGTGGTAAATGAGTTTGCGCGGAAAACAAAAAAATGGAAAGTAAAAAGTAGCACGACCTATTACAGAGTCTGAACTACATACTCTAAATAGCCATAAGACAGTTGGAAAAAATCATGAACGCAAGGAAAAGGAAACATAGCCAATCAAAGATTGGAAAAGAGTAATGAACGCAAGTAAACAGAAAAAATGCATCAATATGTATGAATGCACATCTGTAGTTATAAGATACTTTCAACACTTTTCCTAAGAAACGAAAAAAAAAATCAGCAATACCTATATAAGAGTCTTCGCTACGTTCATTACTCTTAAAAAAAACTGACTTGTTTTTTTGAAAAAACTTCGACTTCCGAATTTTAAAGTAAAAAAGAGATGGCTTTAGAGCTCTTTGAATTTCAAGAACAATTTATCATTGACACTTTTTTGATAAAGTTAACCCAATTGGGGCCAATTGGATCAACATGCAATTTTTTTTCCGCTGGGAAACCTGAAAATTGAATTCCCTTTCGAAGCTAGATGTCAATTTCGTTTTTTGTGACCTTTACACTTTTTGCTAATCTTTAGGCGAGTTTGCCTTCTTTCAACAAAGTAAATAAAGTGAACATTAAAAGAAATCAAAGTCGAAGCGCGAAAAATCAAATTTTATGAAAAAATTTTAAGAATTCTTCCTGAAAAAAAATACAAACAAAAAATCGCCAAGACCTATATAAGAGTGCTTAGTACGTTCATGACTCTTGAAAACTTCAAAATTAATTTTCATTTAAAAAACATGATTTCAGGTCTCGATTAAATGTTTCATAGTTTAACATTCTATAATAAGCCTACTCGATTGATCTATACTCGCTCGAAATTAGACTGAAACCTGTTTATTGTCACTCTGACGACTTTTTAAAAATGTTTTGATGTCGTTCGAATCACGACTGAATTGCTTAAATGAGAGATATCACTCGACCCAGTCTGATGATTAGTTGTGGTACCTGAGTTTGCGTTGAAAACAAAAAAAATGAAAAACAAAAAAATAAACCCGAATACAAAGTTCATCCCCATTTAGAATGGTCAAAACAAAACGTGAAAACCCACCTCGTTCATCAATTTATGAAAAAAAAAAACACATTTGTTGATAGACATTAAAATTACTCTTCCAAAGCCAAGATAGATGAGAATTACCTTTCCTCTCTCGCGGACGATAACCGTGCTCTTGTCTCCGCAGCATCTGTCCACAGCCAAACCGGCCGAGTCATATCCCCGATACTCCATCCTCTTCAGGCCCTGCAGCAGAGTATCCAAGATGTACTTCTTGGTCTGCGGGGTGAGATAGTTCAGATAGCAGAAGATACCTATGGTTGAAACAGTTTAACAGCAATAAAATTGCTTAATACTAAACGAAAAATTAATAATCAGAACAGCGCTGAAAGAACAACGATAAAAACTGCTGTATATGAGCTGCAAATCTTTCGAGATGAACTGCTAGCCAAAATAAAATCAAAACAAAGAAACAAAACAAAAATAAGTTCACTCACCGCACATTTTAAAGCTATTTTAACTTCGTCTCAATTTGGCCACAACAACTCACTCAACTACTATCTGAAAAAAAAGACGTTTTTGTTTAACTTGATATTATTTGTCCAACTGAAAGCAAATCATTGCCTTGACTTGAACTAAAACTGTTAACTAAATATCTTTTTGTCATACCACATTTGGTGTTTTTTCAAACATCAAACACAAGTTCACTTTCATATATAGATGCTTCATTTGATGAACTTAATAAGCTAATTCGGATGCCTGACGTTAAAGGTATCTTCACCTCTCTCAATCACTTTAATCATTGTTCTTCAACTTCAACATCATTAGAAGGATTTAAAGTCTTTCCATCAGGAGTGATTAATGAAGCATCACTTTGCGCAGAAAAAACACCAGAGTTGTTCATGAGTTTTGTTTTTTCATCGTCAATTTTTGGTTGAGACATCTCATTAACCGTTTGCGAGCTTTTTTGATGTTCACTTGGTGTTGAATTTACGTTGTTTTTGAATGTTTTTGCATTTTTTCTCTCAGCGTTTGCATTGCTTGGTCGTTCGAACAACACAACCAACTCGCAGTGGTTAGTATGTGGAAACAGGTCAACTGGTTGTGCCTAAAACAAGAAATATTTATAGACCGCTACAAAATACTCGATGTAAGTTTTCTGATAACACCTCTTCTTTCTTTAATAAAAACTAGCAAGTCCGTCTCCAAATGTTAATGAGCTTGCGAAAAGTTAGGTTCATTGTTGTTCAGATCAAGCTATTCAATCTATGAAACTTTAAAGCAATTCAAGTTATTTCATGAATCAAATCGGAGGGCGCAAAGTTGAAAATTTTATAAGCAAGCTACACATAAGAAACTTTGAGATATTCTAAATTATTTCATGTAGCGAAAAAGATGACAAAAAGTCAGCTTTTTTCTATTGAAGCTTTTTAAGCGACGAAGCTTCAATTATTTCAAGTTATTTCACAGACTGAATCAGTTTGCGATAGGTTCAAAGTCATATCATGGAGCGAACCAGTTTCTGTTAGTTTATCAAGCAAGCTATTCATTGGATGAAACTTTTTTTACAAATATTTCTTAAAGCCAACCGGATGACAAAAAAAATTAAGTTAAAGTTTTTGTAAGCAAGCTAATCAAGCCAAAAAAAACTTCATTGACCGTCAATTTATCTATGAAATATGTCAAATTGAATATTCCAGACGCAAGAAAATGCTAGAACATTTTTGACCTTCTCTTAAACGTTAAGCCTAAAGAATTTTTTAAACGTTGCATTCGACAAAGCTAAAACATAGCTTCAGTTAAACATTGCGTCCATAGCGCATTCCGACTTTCATTCAATATATACGATAAATAAGATTGAAAAAATTTGAAGCGTTATGGGTCATCAGAAAGATTTGTTCACCAACTACTGCATAAAATGGACGCAGAAAAAACGTACTTTGACCATTTGAAACGGTGATCCTGCGAACTTCTTGCTAGTGGGTCTGCACAAATCTACCCAGTTGGTTATAGCTGCATTGGCATTGCAAGATACATAAACTAGTTTTGTGAGGAAGGAGCACTTTCTCAGTGATTGGATCACAATCTTGTGCAGCCCACTTCTTGGAGGGTCAACCACTGCACTCACGTTTGGGACATTTACCAGAGTCTCAGCTGAAAAAAGATACGGGTAAAAATTCCGAAGATTTTTTTTTGGTTAAATGGGTTTTTCAAATTGTTCTAAGCTAACTACTGCGCTACGAGCAAGTCGGATACCCGACAGTATCGTGATATCAGAATTAAAATCTTCACAGAATTGTATGGCAAAGCGCAGAAAGCGATTCATTTTTTTTTTCATAACACAGCTAAAGACTTTTCATTCCAAATACAAGCAGAGACTTCACGATCAATTTTTTTTCAGATAGATCCGTCCAATTACAATTCCATACCCAGCAATGGTAGTACTTCCTCAGCTTTGCCGCAGTGGTATTGGATGTTGTTTAGATTGTTCAGAGCGGCGTTTTCTTTAGCATCGTGAATTGCATCCTCGCCTGAAACAATTCAGAGCACATCAAATCAAGCTTATTTGCCTTGTACGCATAGTCAAAGCATTTTTAAGAAACTAATCAATTGTTATTTTATCTTGCGGTTACTTTAGAAAAATTTCAATACGTTCAAAAAATATTTTTACTTTCAAGTTTGTTTTTTTTTTTTAAAAAAAAAACGTGATATTATTGAAGCAGTAATTTCATCGCATTTAAAAAAAGTATTTATATAACACAGCCAACACACAATTGGAAAAAGTCAATGAATCAATCAAACAGAACCAAAATCTGAAATCTTACTTGCTTTTCGAAAAAATTACAACTTTCGATTGATCGAGAAAAAAGTAGATGCAATTCGCGGTAAAATCAAAAGTCAAACCGCGAAAAAGTAAATTTGAGCCAGAACTAACTTAAAGACTTTTCCTGAAAAAAAGACTCTGAACTACGCTCATCCACTCTTATTAAACAATCCACTAAAATTGGCTACTTTAATTATTAAATAGTTGGCTGGTCTCATAACACTACAATCTCAAGTTCGCTTGAGCTAAAACAAAACAATGGCGATAAAAGTCAAATTTGAATAAAAAAACATTAATTTTCCACAAAAGCCTGATTCAACAAATCGAATATCTTAGTCATCTGTTTCAACGCGGAATGAAAAGTTTTTTCTTAGTTTAAGTACACTTTAGCAGCAGCTGTGATAACAAAAAACTTCATTTTTTTTAAATCGACATATAATATGGTATTACTTTAAAGAAATTACGACTCTATCTCAAATGCAAGCCTGCAAAAAAAAGCTTTCTAGCCTCTGAATTATAGACTCTAATCATTTTCTCAATTAAGTTCATTGACACTTAGCTCAATTCCGCACAAAAAAAAACAAAGTATGGTTTTGCATTTGTATTTGGATAGTGGAGTTTGCCTTCCTTTTAACAAATGAAATTAGCTGAACTCAAAAAGAAATCAAATCTCAAACACCGAAAGAGTAAATTTGAGCCTGACCTTATTTCGAGACTTTGCCTGAAAAAAATTCAAAAAATCATCGCGACCTATATAAGAGTCTGAACTACGTTCACTGACTCTTAATAAGTAAATAACCTGTCTGTGCAACAAATATAAATCATTCATTTTAATTTATTCATGCATCCGCTTTTTAGAGTAATAAAATTTTTTAAGGGTGACCACTCGACTAGCTTAAGCCTCGACATCTAGCATAAGTTTGAAAACTGAAATAATATCGACTAGAATAACTTTTACAGTAATTTGTCTCAGAAATACAAACAATAATCATAATCCGTTCAAATTGAAAGATGCATATCTGAGAAATAGAAACTTGAGCAATTGACAAATTAAGCAATCAACATGCATATGAATTCCTTTTGTCCTAAAACAGCAAACGCTAAACCCCGACCTGCAAGGGCTTGAACCGAATACTGATCGACACGCAAATTGTGTGAAAAACTGATTTACATGTGTTTTTCTGTGTAACGATTCAAAATTTGATTTCAAACGAATTTTGCGTTTCGATTTTCGAGCTGGCCGATACAATTTTCAAGTATAAAACTTTTATGCTAGTCGAGCTTTATGCTAGTCGATACAACGCCGTTCTTTGTTCTTCTCAACTCAGCAAACAAACTAGCTAAATTGCACCACACATTTCATTCTAAGATGCAAACTGAGACAATTTCAATAAGATGCCAAATTAATCACGCCGCCGATAAGACGCCGATAATGAAAACTGTTAAAAAATCGAGGGTGTTTCAGCTGAAAATTATTATCTCTGACCAACAAAGTCGAGAACGAAAAGTAGTACCAGAAAGGCTCTGTCAAATTATAGGGGCTAACAGAACTTATAGCTTAAAACGAAAATTCACAAATAAAAGAAAACAAAATCCCATTGCATATCAAAATACTTATCATAAATAATTCATAACATAGCCAATCGAAGATTGGAAAAGAGTAATGAACGCAAGTATACATGAAAAAAAAACACTGAAATTATGAAAAAATCTCAACTTTCGGATTTCGAAGAAAAAAAATAGATGCCCTTTGAGCTCTTTGAATTTCTAGAAAGACTTATGATTGGCGCTTTCTTGATAACATTAACCCGACTTGAGAAAACTGGATCAACAGGTAAAGTTTTTATTCCGCTGAAAATCTAAAAAGTAAATTCCACTTTCCAAACTAAAAACAACCGTTCACAGATGAATTTCAATTGAACTCAAAAAGTGCATATATACCTAAGTGCATTCATAAATGCATCAAAATGTATGAATGCACACCTGTAGTTGTTAGAGACTTTTATGCACATTTTGTGCAAGACTATTTCCTGAAAAAAGCAAGACCTATATAAGAGTCTTCATTACGTTCATTACTTTTCAACATTAATCCAAAAGTTATAAAACATTTTTGAAATGCATAAAATGGACAATTGCCTTATGAGAAAAGTTGAATTGGATTCTTGGTATTTAAGAAAGCTCGAACAAAAGTTTTTTGTAGTCAGTAAACAAATTCCTAACAGGATTACAACACAATTACATCTTTTTTTCCAATAATCGTAGTTTTTGAATTCATTTTTTCTAGTTACGTATAATTTGCTTGTTGTCTACTTTCCTCGACCCCTAGAAGTACATTACATATGAATTTATGGATACTTTATGACTGGTACAAAAAGTAGTAAGACCCAACATAATTCCCTTATTTTCAAAACGAAACAAAAATGAGAACGTCGACCGTCTGCGAGGTAAGCAAGCTCATTTGTCTGCCCTAAAAGCAAACAAGAATTTACAAATTTAGATTGAAACGTTTTTCATCACTTATCTCTTTCCACTTTAGGAAAGTACTTTGAGACTTTTATAAAACTAATCAGATAAATCAACCGGCTCATTCGGTAATATTTTTACCGGTTGAACTCTTCAAACATCTACCTTCGATATTGAAAGTCAAGCGCGGATTACCTGTATTCAGAAATTCGATTAAACTCAACTTGAAAAAAATATTTATGACACAAAGGCGAAGCTTCTCATTATTTGCGACACAACGCAAGCGTAGCATTGCAAGCTAGAGAATAGAAAATAAGACAGAAATACAAAGCGGAAAAGAATCTATTTAAAAAAACTGGAATATTCAATTCAGAAAAACAGTCTAGAAACACAACGACATCATTAAATAAGTTTTTAGAATCATTTACCTAGCTAAGCCGACAAAACTTGGTAGATGCGCACTTAGACGAAAGCAAAAATGCCGTAAGAAAATGCTGTCATAAGACAGCGATAATGTTCTTCTTTCACTTTCGTCTTCTTTCACCTTTTTTCTGCTTTTAACTTTCGATCATTCTGCTTTGAGAATAGCCGCAAAATAATGACATAACAAGTTACAAAATTTAGGATAACAAAACGACGGGACTAGACGACCAGCCAACAAAACTACAATTATAACTTCATGACAAAAAAAAACGGTAACTTGTGGTTAGATTTAGTCGAAATTTGAAGTTTGTAATTTTCAGACTGAATTGTATTTCGCACCAACAGCCGAATTGTCTTTCGCACCAACATTCAAAACAAAAGTAACCTCCAATACATATTTTTTGGCTCAACAAAATGACAAAAACAACTAACATTTTGCCAATTCTTTTTGATTAACTATTTAACAGAATCTACCAAGCAGTATTGCATTTAAATCTAAACAAGTCACAAAGTATGAGTTTTATTTAGTATGTATAAGTTGTAAAAAAAATTACGAGACCAAACTGTGCACGGGATAGGAGCACAATTTTGTGTCTGTATGTTCCTGGATTCCAGAGACATGTCTTAAAATATGTTCCAAAATGTAAGTGGATTCCACAAACAAAATTTCAGTGGATTCCGCATACATATATCTGTAACGTAAATTTTGTCGGCACATTTGTTTTGTTGCAGATTCCACAACAAGCAAATATAGCTAGTTGTTCTGAATTCCGCAACTGTGAGTGGATTCCGCAAAATGTAAGCGGAATCCGCAAATGTAAGTGGATTCCGCAAACTGTAAGTGGATTCCGAATTTTTTTCAATACTGAACTTGCATATGAACAATTAAAAACAATTAATGGAATCCCAAAAACTGGAATAATGTGGAATAAATATGGAATATATCCACTATTTGGAGTCATTAGGTTGAGAGTGATTAGAAACTCAACGCATAGCAAATCGTCGAATTAGTTCAGTATTTGGGATTTCATCGATCCCAAATACTGGTCAGTATTTAGGATTCCATTAATCCCAAACACTGATCTATTCTAGTAAATTTCTATTCTAGTAAAATTCTATTCTAGTGAAATCAAATCATATATTTAAAAGATATAAATTTAAAGGCTACTACACATATAAATATATGTAAAGGGAATCGGCAAACAAAATGCGGATTCCACTTACAATTTGCGGATTCCACTTACAATTTGCGGATTCCGCAACAGCTCAATTTAACGATACAAATGTTTTATCATTTGTTTGTGGATTCCACAAACTGTTCTGGAATCCGCAAAAAGTTGCGGATTCCGCAAATTCGCCTATTTTTCGAGCGATAATATAGGTATTTGTTTATGGAATCCAAAACAGCATAGAAGATCAAAGAAAAGAAGCAATGTTGCGGATTCCGAGAAAAATCTGATTTTGGCCTGTTGCGGATTCCGCTTACAATGCAGAGAATGCACAGTTTGGCCTCGTAATGAATATACTGACAATTTAGCTTGTGACTTTTTTTCAAATTAATGTCGCAGTAATTTTTTTGTTCATAAAACTTTAAACAATTGGCTTCAGCTCAGAAATTCTGGCATAAAAAACTTTCTATGGTTTGGCGAGGAATCTGTAAATAATATCAACCTGAGTTGAAGGGTATTGTCTCAATTCTCATTTTTCTCAAGTAGGATATACACACAGACGCGAGGCGGAGCTTCGCATCACTTGTATTACCACGCAGGCGTAGCATAGAAAGCTAGCGAAACGAATTTTTTGACAAATTGAAAAAAAAAATCACAATTTCATAAAAACAGTTAAGAGAAGCAGAACCACCAGCAATAAAAAAGTTTTCAATCATTAAACGAGCGGAAACGTGATCGAAAACACATGAGTAAACAGAAAATTCAGCCAAATTAGAAAAGCCTAAAACAAAAGAAAACCAAAAAAAAATATTGTCAATTATTGAAAAAATTTGAGCAATTAAGTTGTTTAAAAGCTTGAAACATTTGGACCACAACCATTCTGAATTGTTTGAAAAAATTTTTGACATCTACAATCAGTTTTCACCCATGCATGAATAAGAGGAGAATGAGTGAGATATGCATAAAATGAACTGACTCATCTCTATTCCGATGACTTTGTGGACTGACTTGGCGAGTATGATTCCGACAGTGCCTGTGCCACAACACACGTCCATCACTGTCGAGTCAGAACTAGTCCCAGCCCAATCACACACTAAAACAAGGATAAACTTCATTCAAACTGTCGACTGGAGGCTATTGTTTGCACATGTTTACCTCAAATAAGAGATCTTTACACATACCCGTCATCTTTATATAAAACCAGAAATACAAAACTTCAACAAAAAATTACTGCTTTTCTTTAAAAAGTATAAAATGAACTGATCCTTCCCTTAGCCAAATAAAAAATGACCAGTCCCTTCGTCAAAAAATACAGTAATCCTAATCCCTGCCGTAATTACTGAAAGGCGAGTAAAAACAAGATATTATGATTTCAATAATATTTTTCATTTCAAGCTTATAGTCAATTAAATTTTTCGACTAAGCAAAAAGCCTTTGTATCAAAACGAAACCCATGTCATTAATGACAGGTGTCAGCTTCGTTAATTGATTTCTGTACAATCGATCAGAGTGAGAGTTCAAAATATTTTACCGCAACAGCAAGACTTCAAAAAAAGAGCCCATTTAAAAATTCAGCAAATCGACTTTTTTTGTATTCATTCAATCGCAAATTTGAAGCTGAGGCGAAGCTGAGCTTCGTGCCACTTGCGTTACAACTACATCTATCAAAATGGATGAAGATAGCTGTGAAAAAAACATGCCCAAACAATAGAATGCAAAATCAGCATCGGAAAAAAAACCAAGCGATGAAAAAGCCAAAAATAACTGAGCAGAAACTCTTCAATTCAATTTTTTTTCAAATTCAACTGAGCAGAAACTCTTCAAGCCAATTTTTTTTTCAAATTCAACAGCAGAAACTCTTCAAGTCAATTTCTTTTCAAATTCAAATTATTTCAACATTTTACGTCCACCTTCTCATCACAAACAGGCACACAAAAGCTTTTTTCGGGCATCAAACCATGCAAAAAGAGGCTATTAAGCCGCTATAAAACAAGCCAAAACTTAAAAGCCGAAAAAAATGAAATTTCAACAAACCGAGTGGTTAAAAAGCAGCCAATTTTAAAAAGCGCGGGAGGACGTGCAATCTGTGTTTCCGTCGAAACGACTCAAAATTAGGTCACTAAGCCGATAAAAAACAGGCCGAAATAGTTTTGGCCGAATTAAGTATTTAGCCGAATTTAAAAAAACGAAGGAAATACAAATTCAAAGTAAGTAAAATTACAAGTAAAGTAAACACTAAAAGCAGCCTTTAAAACATGCGCGCAGCAAAACAAAACGATTCCAAGATGTTGTAATTAAGTCGACAAAAGATAAGCAGACCAATAATTGACCGACAATTTTTATTTGAAACAATTATTACCGTTTGAAAAAAAGCCCTGGTCAAATTCGAACCAATGACCTTTGCGTCCCAGACCTATTTGTCACCTCCAGGCTAAACGAGCCGTGAATGCTAGAAAAATTGAATTAGTTATGAAACAAGGTACCACCATAGATGATTCCAGATGGTATGAGTCCTGTGAACGAAGTTATTTACGGGGAAAAGTCTAGTACCCGATTGCAGTACCCCTGCTTATCGCAAGTGTAGAGATATGTCTAGTTTGACGATTGCGGTAAAATGAAAATGACGGAAATCCAATCCTCCCCCTCCATCCCCTAATGATGACTAAAACCGAGATCCATTCATTATAAGCCGCTCTCACCTAGACTGTAGAGTAGTTCAGTGGCGAGGGTGTTGACTTGGAAGAAGGCAGTTGGGGAGAGACGGAAGGTGCTGGAAAGAACCTTCTCAGATATCTTCTTATCTCCTCCCAGCAGCACCAGTTGATCTATTTCCGACGAGCTGCTACAGCTACAAACAAATACTCGCAATGGTCAACACAGACGCGAAGCTGCACATCGCAAACTCAAACTACAAAAAATCGGCAATGAAGAAAAAGACAAAACGCATGAATTTTAATTTGAAAGGAAGTCTATAGCAATATACAATTGCACGGAATTTTGGACTACAGGATATAAACCGAGGACCTACCGTCCAAGCATCAGTTTCTTGTATATTAATCCATTGTTTCCTGGATACCACTACTTTAACCAACCATTAAAGTAATTGGTAGGCAGCAATGAATGCACTTCAATGAAGCGGATACATTTGAAATCACAAAATGGAAAATAAACTGCATTATCAAATTGAACACAGAGAGGTGAGAATTAGTCTGGAAACGAAACATAGCCAAGGCGCAGATTCGAAAGTATCAATAAACTCAAGGAAAACAAAAAAAATTGAATTCGAAATTTGTTTAAAAAAACATCCATTCTTAAGCTAGTCTACACAGCGAAAAAAATGTTTCAAATAAAATTTCAGCAGCTTCAAAGAGTTGATGATAAAAAGATGAAATTATAAAAAAAAAACCGAAACCAAAAAAAAGATTGAATGATTTTGAACATAGTTCAACTTTCGAATTCCGAAGATGAAACAAAATCAAGTTGAAGCTCTTTGAATTTCAAGAACGCACTTATGATTTACACTTTTTGAAAAAATTAACCCAATATAAGAAAACTGAATCAATGGGCAAATTGTTTATTCGGCTCAGAAACAAAGAAAAAAAATAAACCACATTCCAAACTAGAAGTCAATCAAGTTTTTCGGGATCTTAACACTTTCGTATTGAAAGATTGCAACTTAATTTAAATTTTAGCAGATGAAATTGATTTGAACTTAAATAGAACATATATATACCTGAAGATTCATGAATGCATTAATATATAAAAATGCACTTCTGTAAAAATTAGTACATTTTAAGACTTTCCTGAAAAAAAAATCGAAAAATTAATCCAGAACTGTTTGCTAGATAACCACTTCGTTCGTTTGCTAGAAAACCATCAAAGATCAATTTCGGAGGAACATTTTTAAGAAGTAATATGTCTCAAGGAAGTAATCTGATAACTCAACAGACAGACATTTGGAAAATTGTCAAAAAAACAAGGAGACCAAAAAAGATAAGTGTTATTTTTGAAAAACTTTTCACTAGCATTTCAAAGCCATTTTGATTGGTAGTTTTTTTTTCAAAAACTTACCCAACGTGAGATGTATGAAGCAACAAGGAATTTTATTATTCTGCCGGGAAATCTAAAACAGCCGACAGACAGTTGGAAAGGAGTCAATGAACGCATGTGAACAAAAAAAATTCTGACTTGTTTTTTGAAAAATCCAAACTTTCGATTTTCTAAGAAAACAATAGATGAAATTCAAGCTCTATGATTTTCTAGTAGAAATTATGATTGGCACTTTTTCGATAAAATTAACTCAATTTGAGCAAATTGGATCAATAGGTAAACTTCTAATTTCGCTTGGAAATCTGGCAATTAAATTCCATTATCGAAACTAGAAGACGATCTCGTTTTTCGGGACCTTTTAACTTTTGCTGTTTGATAGTGGAGTTTGCCTTCCGTTCAACAGAGAAACGAACTGAACTTGAAAAGAAATGAAAAGTCAAACCGTGAAAAATCAAAGTTGAGCCTGAACAAATTTCAGGACTTTTCCTGAAAAAAAATCAAAAAAATCACCGAACTATATTAGAGTTTTCACTACGTTCATCGACTTTTGATGATGATCATGTTTTTTCGCACATGTGCTATTGGAGAGTAAGTTTGCCTTTCCTTTAGAAAATGAATTTCAGATGGATCAACAGAAAAAAATGAGAAAATTAATTTGAGTGGGATCAACGCAAGATTTAAAACTTTATCAAATTTACGTTGTATATTCGTGCAAATCATTATATGAATATGTGTTTTATAAAAAGGAAAAATAGGAGCAAACAAAATTTCAAAAAAAACTTAGCCAATAGCAAACGTGTAAAGGTCAGGAAAAACGTGATCGATTTCAGATTTTTCAACTTTTAGGTTTCCCAGTGGAACAAAAACCTAACTTATTGATCCAGTCTTCTGAATTGAGTTAATTTTAATTTGAAAATGTTTCCTTGTGTTCATTGAGTCTGTTCCAACTAAGTTAGGTTTTTGTTCCGCTGGGAAACCTAAAAGTTGAAAAATCAGAAATCGATCATGTTTTCCTGACCTTTACACTTTTTATGTTCGATAGTGAAATCTGTCTTCCTTTTTTCAAAGCAAATAAAGTAAACAGGGGAAAAAACACAAGTCAAAGAGCGAAAAATTAAATTTCAGCCTGCACAAATTTTAAGAATTCCGGAAAATAAATCATCACGACCTAATTAAGAATCTTCACTGCGTTCATCAACTCTTAAAATGAGCAAATGACGTATTTCAGACACTTTTTGCACGCAAAGGCTCATTTTTCAGACATAGTTCGTCTAAAGGTAACCTAAAAACTGATATCTACATGGAAAAATAGCTCTAAAATATAGCAGACTTTCTCCTTTTATTAATTCTAGCTATTCCAACTTTTGCCAATTGTCGTAGTTACATTGAATTGACGCAGTTCCAGTAGAAGCTAGTGATCTCCGGGTGAGTTTCAGTCATGGCCTTGTGAATTCTCTCTTTCTCCCTACTCAGCACTTCTTCTGAGATGGATTGGGGCGAGAAGTGGACTATGATCATCACATTCTTGTCACTTCTGCCGGATCGCACTGTCAAACCTCGCCAGTGACCTGGAAAATATTCATCTCCATGTTGTGAAAATATTGATAAACACAAACAGCTTCAATTAATTCGACACACTGTCTAAGCGCATCAATAAACACAGCTTCGCACCACTTGCGAAACAACACCAAAACAGCATGACAAATTAGAAAGAATCATATTCAAACTATGCAATATGATACCATGAAGCCGATTAGGTATGAATCGAAAAAAAAACTTTTAAGCCGAGTAAACAAAAAAAGAATAACAAGGATAGCAAGTAGCACAGACTGATCCGACCACATTTTCAGAAAGCTCTTTTTTTATTTTTTCAAGTAACTGATTTTTCTTGTACGCCGTGTGAAGAAAGAACTATACAAACTCTTAGAAATTTGAAGAGTTGGGAATAAATGACTAAAACTGTCTTCAAAAAAATAAATAAACATGAAATTTCTTCAAATTTCGTTAAGTTTTTTTTTGCCAGAAGCGCGAAATAAGTATTCCGAAGAAAATTTTCCTTTTCGTAAAAACAAGTTATTTTAAGCCTAAAATAGTTATTTTCAAAGGTCGAAAAAAAAACATAAAAATACTGAATCGGAGTTGGTTAAATTAAAACCAGTATAAACAAGGAGAGACGGTTACTGTTCAAGTAGCATGGAATGTATCGACTATAGTCTTCAAAACATAGAAAAAAGTTTTTTCAAATTCTTGTCGTTTTTTTGCGTGGTGTAATGAAAGGGTCTGAACGAAAAATATGTTTACGCATATTTACACAAATATAAAAATAAGAAAATAGGACAAGAAATTTCCTATAAAAAGACAAGAAAATTTTTTTAAAAAACTATCAAAAACTTACTTTTTATTAAAATTTTTATTTTTATTGTTCCAAAAATGGCGTTAAAAAATTCCAAAAACTAACTTCACTTGTGTAGAATTATATTAGGCAGAAATAAGCTATTGTAAACGGCTCAATTTAAGCAAAAAAAGGCTGCTCACTCGCTTTATTCGATCCAAAATAGACCAAAAATTTCAAACGGGTATTCGGGTTTTTCTCAAAAACTTGTTTGAATAATAATATTTTTATGTCGTTCAAGTCACGACTGAATTGGGTTTAATATATTACATAATTCGATCTATTCCGATGATTATTTGACCTGATGTTCCGTCGAAAACAAAAAAAAATAACACACTCGAACAAAGTTCCTCTCTATTGTTCAAATGGTCGAAAAAAAAACAAATACTGATAATCGCAAGGTTACAGAGCGGAGCGGGTATTTGAAACGCAAACATACTCAAATTATGTCTGTTGGTTGACGAAAAGGCGTATTTGAGAACATGATTCAGCAATCCGAAATGAGTGCTTGCTAAAGACGATCATAATTATCGCTTATGAAACATTCTCGTGCATATTAATGGACGGATCAAAAAAAGTTAACATCTTGCAACAAATGTTTCTATATTTTAAAAAATGTTTACAAACTTTTCAAAAAAAACTTTAAATTCCATAAAAATCTTGTAACTTAATTACCTCCACCAGTGGGGCGCTTTAATAATGACATCTAGTAACTTTTCTCAACATGTACAAAGAGTCCGCGCTACAGGAATTAAGCCCTCAAAAACCAACAGACTGTCAAAAGTCCAAAAAAGCAGAAAATTTCTTGGTAAAAAAATGTCCAGGCCGGATTCGAACTGCATGCCTTTGTCGTCTCAACCAGCCAGATGCGCTGGATGGTTGATTGATTTTGAATTTATTATGAAGGAAGAAGAAGCATCAAAAAAATCTTGAGAACAAATTTATTTACGGGAAAAAGGTCTAGTACCCAGTTGCAACACCCTTGCTTATCGAAACACAGCATGAGCCTCTATTTCAGACTTTCTCACCCATCTTTCATTCATCCGATATCCTGGCACGGTCATTTTTTAAACTGGAAGTTTGAGAAGATCAAGAAAGTTGTTCGTTCGGCACACAAAAAAGTCATTGCTAATTATAAAAAAACGACCAGCATAAACGCATAATTTTCCCCAAAAATGATTTTGCTAGGAATGAAGGCGAAGTTGCAAGTTTCTCAACATTCCTATGAAAAGGTGGTTATTGGTATATGAGTGAAAACTTTTCAGCCGGAAAATAGTCAAATAATTTCGTGCATGTCTTAATCAAGGAGTCGCAATTAGATTAACAGCCCGCGCGCACATTCGTTCTTTCACTGAGGAAATTAAAAAATAGTCCTTTCCCATTATAGCACCACGCTCCCATAAAAGTCCACCCACGCAGCGAAATAAAATCCCCCCTCAAACAAAAAGTCTACTGTAGTGGGAACATTACTTTTTGTTACCAGACTAAAAAGGGGGCAAGAAAGGGAAAATGCTTCACCTGTGTGCGTGACTACACAGTACTGATCCAAATCACTCTCTCGAATGAGACTCTGAAACTGAGTCACTATTCTGAGCATAACATCGCCCACTATGTTGCACTTGGGTTCCACCACCGAGATCTCCCCTGACTTGTAGCTGGACAGACGGAAGCCCACGGTCTTCTTCACGCCATAGGGATCTGACCCTATAGTGAACTCACATTTGTTCCTGTAGCCCTAAACACAATCAGCGCACAATTTGAGACGACAGCCGGAAGTAACTTACAACGATTTTAACATTTTAGATATTCAATTTCTCCGCGCTGCGTGTATAACGCTCAATTCAATTTAGCTGAAAATTCGAGCTTAGAACCAATTTACGATCCCCCAATCGCTTTAGGGGGATGTTAACTTGGTTCCATAAATCTTTCTTCTAATTAGTCACCTTAGTCGTGGGACTTGGAATCACTGGCAGAAAATTGCAGCAGAGGTTGAATAGTTTCTTCTTCTCGTCAAGCCATTGTCTCGTGTCAGGGGCGGCCTTCCTCAGTTCCCGCTCAAACAACCGCATCGCACTCTTCAACTCACCGGCCTTCTTCTGCAATCTAGCGATCGGACACAACAACGGACATGACAAAAAATAGCAAACAAACACCCATAGCAAATAAATAATGAGGTAGAGTTTCTCATGCCAGATGGCCCGAATTCCCAAAAATGGTGTCAGCCAATCAGAATTCCGCATTGAAAACTGCGAAAGAAATGAGCATTTAATAAAATACAGTGCTGGAAAACCGGAAAACGAACAAAATTTGAAATTTCAAAAGCGTTTTTCTCAAACTGGGTTTATATTAGACAAAGATGAAGAGAAAAAAAGTTGCTTAGAACTTCACCAGAATTAATATGGTGCACTTTCTTCTCCGAAATTTTCAACCAAAATTTTACCCCAAAAATGGGTCAGTTCGGCTTTTTTAAGTAATCAAGAATAACGCGGAACTTCTTTGTTAATTGATTAGAAAATTATATCACAAGAAGTCTCCTACACAGCCCAACAAAGTTCTAGAAGGGTTAAGTCTCCAAAAACCTGTATAAAAGAAAATATTTTTGCTTGATAGTCGATCAACGAAACTTTTACTATATAATAACCAAAATCTTTGCTTAAAAGCTAATTGTAAACAACTTGCCAATTTCGGTTTAGATTTAGAAAAAAACCTAAAAATGTTAAGTTTTTCAGACCAAGAGACACAAAACTCTATGGAAGACTGACTGCTCAATTTATATTAATGCAAAAATTAGGAAAAACTTAGCTGTACTTTCCAAACGCAAAAAAAAACGGTCAAAAAAAGAAAACAAAGCAAACAGACAGTTGGAAAAGAGTCAATGAACGCTATTCAACTGAAAAAATGACTTAAAAATCTCAACTTTCGAATTTCAAAGTAGAAAAATTGATGCCCTTTAAGCTTTTTGAATTTCTAGGATAATATATGATTGTAAACTTTTTCGATAAAATTAACCCATTTTGAGAAAACTGGATCAAATAGTAAATTTCTTATTTCGCTGAGAAATCTGAAAATTTAATTTCATTTTTGAAACTAGAAATCGATCACGTTTTTTGTGACCTTTTAAATTTCGATTTCGATAGTGGAGTTTGCCGTCCTTTAAACAAAGGAGAGGAACTGAACTTGAAACGAAATCAAAACGAAACCGCGAAAAAATTAATTTGAGCGTGAACATAAATTAAGATTTTTCCTGAAAAAAAACGAAAAAAAATATATAATCGCGACCTAAGAGTCTGACCACCGTTCATCGACTCTTTATCAAAGAAAAATCAGCAAAACTTCTTGGAACTAATTTCCTGCCTTATTACATCAATAGACCATTTTATATATCATAAGGTAAAACGTCCGTGCTGAGGCAACTAAGTGGAGAAAAATAATAAGTAAACAAACGATAGACCGACAATTCAAACCCTTAATACAAACCATAAATATTTCAGATCACAAAAAAAAAAACTCCAGGCCGGTCTCAAACCACGGACTTTTATCGTCCTAGCCATGGACGTAACCTCTTCGCCATATGTACAGGAACACAACCTAAGTTTCAATGACTATGCTAAGCGAGTTGTTAACATGAAAAACTTGAATCGATTAAGAGACAAGCTATGATTCAATGTTTATGTTTTAAGTTGTTAATCTGAAAAAAAAAAACGTTGTATGTTCCAATTTGATGATGCTTGATAATCGCAGCGCTTGTTAGCTCATCCGGAGATTTTTGTTCAACTACTAGTATTTCATCTTTTAGCTCATTCGATCGCCTTAATGCGTAAAACCAACAAGAAACTTTTAATGCTCAACAAAAACAATTAAAAATTATATTTCTTCCTTTCGTTTTGCTTTCTTCCAACTATTGTGATCGGAATATTCTTCATGATGTGAATACACAATATGGCTTTATTTTCTATTAGATTTGAAACTCTATTTTCTCAAAGCTCAAAGTCCACACAGTTCAGTTACACCAATCAACCATTAGTGCAAAACAAAAAAGCTGCAATTCGCAACACAAACAAAAACCACGGACTTCAAAAAATTCAAATTAATACAAAAATGAACCTCAAAGAAAACCTCAAAAACGAAATTCGTAGACTACGTGATTGCGACCACATACCAACAAACTTTATATCGAACTGAACGTAAAATTTTCAATTTAGGATGAAAAAAGTGTACTCGAATTGTATTACAAGCGTTGTTTTAAGTATCATTATGGCTCAAATTATTAAATTTGCAATTTTTAACTTCATAAATTAAAGACAACTGCGTTAGTAAAATGTACTAGAAACTTACCTTCTACATTACAGAGACTAACATTAATAACTGCACATCTACAATAACTGCCAAATCAAACTTAAAAAAGTTCAACAATCATCCAACGGAAAGGATCTTTTCATAATTCTAGAGAGTAAATATAACTTCTTCGAAATTCTCAAAAAACTAAAACGATTAAAATTATCTGCGAAAATCCGATATTTCAAGATGAGCAAAAAATGGTATCCGTTTCAATTAGTATAACTTAATCGCACTCTTGCGCGCATATTTCTGAATCAGATGGAACACGCCAGCACTAGAGATGAAAAAGCGAATAACATCCAGCGCTTACCGCATTCTTTTTTAAAAACTGGGAGTTCCTTATCACAGCGTAAACACATTAAAATGAATTGTACCAAAGCATGATGTTGGAGCATACATTATTGTTTCGTTACAAGAAGTGACACAAGCTGGTGCAATGAAATAAATCTTACGATTATATCCGGAAATGAGACCACATTTATGGATGGATAAAAATAGAACACCAGAAATTATTCTTAATTTTAGATTGCGCCTGCTTTTGCTCCCATTTCTACACTATAAGCCGCTAATACGATCCTGTATCTGCGAAAGAACTTGAAGATGTTGGTATTTTCTGTTATAAGGCCCAATCTTTTCCATAGACTGAAAATTGAATCCAGCAGAAAAACTGAAAATTAAATCCAGCAGAAAAAAAAAACAAATTTTGAAAGTGTGAAAGTTTCCGCTCAGCTAAGTATACCAAAAACGTTTTCAGCCAAAAACATAGCCAACTGACATGAGTAATGATTGCTTGGAACAAACCGACTTGTTTTTTCAAAAATCTTCCAACTTTTGAATTTCGAAGAAAAAAATAGATGGCTTTAAAGCTGTTTGAATTTATGATGGACACTTTTTTGTTAAAATTTGAGAAAACAAGATCAATAGGTAAAACTTTTATTTCGTGGAACTCAGGGATTCGGCATCTTGACCACCCAAGGCCTCTGTGGTACTATTTTACTACATGTTATTAAAGTCAACCAACCGGTATGCTTTTAGAGGCACCAATGAACAATTAACCTGACTGACGCGAATAAAAAAAGCGATTTACGTAATTTTTAGAGCATTTTTTCGTCAAAATTTGCCAGTGAGTCAAAAAATTTGGATTATCGTATTATTTTGGAAGAGCTTGGAAAACCAACTTGGTCGAAATTCGATCTGAAAATCAGCAACCCCAACAATCGAGGAAACCCTAGATCTGCATCTGGAAATGTCGAGCTATATAAGAAAATATCAGAACAACGTTGTCCTTCCTCACTGTTTTTCATATGGCATAGTTGACAATGGAGTAACTGATTTGCACAGCAGCTCAATTGGATCCAAATCCTCCAATTTGATATTCTTGGCGTCTTCCTTTTCGCCTTTTGTTCCATCCTGGTCCAAGCCCCGCTTCAACAGCTGTTTCTTCAAGTAAGGGTCAGCTGCAGGCTTGCTTCTCTTAACCTTTAATCAAGTTCAAGTATTTTCAAATCCAAGTAAACATGGGTATCTAATTCATTTTCACTGGAGCGAATGAAGTTACAGCTAAGCCAAATAGGCCAAAGAAGATGCGGAATTTCTATTTAAAATGTATAATAGAAGCTGAGCTTCGCATCACTTGCAAAACAACGCAACCGCAGTATTGAAAAGAATATAGAAAAGAAGAAAAACAGTTGCCGAAAAACACAATTACTAACATCAAGTAAGTTATTAGAATTTTTCGAGCGGCCAGTAAGCTGGCGACACGTGAGTAAACAAACGCCCATAAAGTCGAAAACCAAAAATGCCATAAAAAACTGTTGTCAAGAAAAAAATGAGAGATTGAGTTTTAACACATTCAATTTTACACCACAATCGACCAGAATTGTTTTTAAAATCAGTGTTTTTCGTTCAAAGGGTATAAAAGAAATTCACGAGGCCAATGAAACATTAGCCAGAACTTCTGAAAAATTATGAACAACAAAACTTAATCAAAATCTGATTTGGTAGTTTAACAAAATAGCACGAAGACCGATGATCGCCAATTATAGTAAGAGAAGTTTAAATAAAAAATCCATGCTTTGAAAATTAAGCCGACAAAATATAAGCAGACAAACAAAATACCGATACCTCATATTTTCCTGGGAAAAATCAATTTCATTCACACCGAAAAAAAACAAGGTCTGATCGGGACTCATATCCGAGACCTTTGTGTGCAAAGGCAACCCCGTTACCTCTAAACCAAGTGAGAAAGAACCTGGAAATTATTAGTCTTCATTATTAAAACAAGCTAAATTTTGACTCCAGATACCCTCCAATAGATACAACACCAAGATAAAAAACAAAGATAAAAAACTCGAAAAAAATCAAAAACATTAACAATCTAGGGTAAACCAGAAGTAAATTTCCGTATATCTAGATAGAATTCCATTCTAGGCAAATATGCCAGACATTCGAATATTTAATTAGCAAAGGAACAAAGCCGACAATCTTTGAGCAGACACAAAATGAGCCGAGAAAAAAACCTTTCAATTCCTTATTGAAACACAATGAATAACACTTGCACTTGCAACTACAATGAATTTCGCTTACAGCACAAGAAAAATTCGTTTTATCTTCGAGCAGCCACAGGATGAGCCGAAAAAAAAATAATAATTAAAAAAAATGAGAAGTTTCAAAAAATCAATTTTTACCGGAAAAAAAATTCAAGTGAATACATACTGATAAAAACAAGGTCCGGTCGTGACTCGAACACCTAACCTTAGGGTGCAAAGGTGACGGCATTTCCTCTAAGCCAAGTGGGAAGAAACCTGGAAGTTGTTAAACTTCAATAATTAAGCAAGTAACAAGAGCAAGCACGTCTTGTAAAAAAAAGTTGTTAACGACAAAAAAAGTCTAGTTCCCTATTACAAGACACTTGCTCTCGCAATTCTGAAGATAGAGAACAGAAAAAGAAATGGAAACCTTAACTATTATACGTTTACAATTTTAACCTAAAAATACATTTAAAAAATTTCATACGTTTGTCTCGGATGATGTTCATTAAAAAAGCTTTGGCAATCATTTACGGAACGGCAACTAAGTCGACTACTCTAAGCCGGAAATAAAACAAGTCATGAAAAAAATTGAGCTCTTATTGTTGAAAGTAACAGTTTTTTGAGACCCATCCATCAGACCTAAAAACGCAAAATGAGGTGACTTAACCCATATTACATAAGCAGAAGCTGATAATTAGTGGAAAAAAACCTAAAAATTATATATTCAAAATCGAAGTAGATAATTTAAAAAAAAAACAGAACAATTTTCAACAGAGAAGCGAAACTAAGCTTCGCACCACTTGCTATACAAAATGAATGACAATAAAAATCAAACAAAAAAAAGCAAAAAAATTGTTTGCAAAAAAAGGGGGCCCCGCCGTATTCGAACCGCCCAAAAGAATTTCAAAAAATTTCTCAACTTATTTAAAAAATGTTCAGTCCTTTCACCCTGAGAGCAGACACACGCGCTTTTTAGAGGCGCAATAGGAGGCCACTAAGTCGATATTAATAAAGCCAAAATTCACTAAGCCGATAAAAAGACAAAAAAAACGAAAAATAAGTGAAATTTTAACAAATCGAGCTATCAAAATTACAACCAATGTGAAAAGAATATTTCGATTTGGCCGGATTTTAATATGCTAAGAACAACTGCAGTGAAAATTGTTTACAGCTAAATTTACCGTTTGAAAAAAAACTGGTCCTGGTCAGATTCGAACCCACGACCTTTGCCAACCCAAGCGTTTTTATTACCACCAGGCTAACTCTGCGAGAGACAGTAAAAAATTTGAACTCATTTTGAACCAATGTACCACCAGGAGTCGAATGAGTCCTGTGGACAAAGTTGTTTACGGGAAAAAGTCTAGTGCCCGATTGCAATACCCTTGCTATCGCAAGGGTAATTATAGTAAAACAACAAACAACATAAATAAACAAAATAGACTTCAATTCCTTTTATAAGAGGTTACAAATACAACTACAAAGACCAAGCATTGTACATCTTTGTAACCATATAATCTTGGTAGGTTCCTGGAACAGATTTCAAATTAAAAACAAAGTTGCTACCGGACAAAACCATTTTCCTCAGTCAACATGTTGAAAACAAATGATTGAAACAGTGAGAATGCTTCAACTCAACTTTTTTTATGACATAGATTTATCTGTGCAAAACGGTATTATAGTCAAAATAAAAGAATTTCATTAAAAATTTCATTAAAACTATTTAGATCAGAGCAAAACCCATGCTTTGCAAAGCAAGCCAATACAAAACTGTACATAATATAAATGCATTGGAAACAAAAACGGCATTTGATACAGTAAAATATGCATTTGACACAAAATAAATGCATTTGAAACAAAATTGAACCGAGGAAAGTTAGGACAAAAACCACAAAACCAAAAAAAATTCCAGAAGTTATTTTTGATTAATTAATTACTACCTTAAACTGACTCAGTAGTTGTAATTGAATTTACAAGAAACTGAACTATTTTCAAGAAATTGAGCACGTCAGCAGCCAGCAAGTGAAAGTAATTGGACGAAATTCAAACAGATTTGTAAAAATTGTTTACGGAGAAAAAATCTAGTTCCCGATTACAAGACACTTGCTCTTGCAAGCTTATTAAAGTAAAAGCAAACACTCGAAATGATTCAATGATTTTATAAGACAACTTGTTTAACAAGAGAAAAAACCATTCCCATTTGATAACGCATCTCAATCACAAGCACAATTATTACAATTTTCGCTTTCTTTTACCTGAGATTTCTGGGGTCGGAATACTTTGTGATACTTACACACTATCACAAAATGTTCCGACCCCAGTAATCTCAGGCAAAAAAAGCGAAAATAAGGCAAAAACAAAAAAAGGCGAAAAACAATCTCAGGCAAAAAAAAGGCGAAAAGGTGATTAACAGAGAAACGGATGATGTTCATATTAATGATATTCATAATATACCTTCAAGGTAGATCCCCTGTAGACCATTCCATCTAGCAACTTGACCGCCTGCTCTCGATCGGTTTCGCTCGAAAACGTCACATACACCATATCTCTGAGTTTCTTAATTTTTCTACACACAACTCCACACGTAGAGACCAAGCATTGTACATCTTTGTAACCATATAATCTTGGTAGGTTCCTGGAACAGATTTCAAATTAAAAAAAAGTTGCTACCGGACAAAACCATTTTCCTCAGTCAACATGTTTGCTTCAACTCTACTTTTTTCCGACATAAATTTATCTGTGCAAAACGGTATTGTAGTCAAAATAAAAGAATTTCATGTCTCATGGACAACAAAAGCAGCCAAGATAACCCAAGAAAAAATTGACAAACAGGAGCTTTAAAATGCAATAAAATACAAAGAAGCTTTGATAACGAAAAAAAGCTCGGCCCATGTGAACAATCTCTCCCTAAAATTAAATGGCAATATCAAGCAAAAAGACCTGCATGTACTAGACTCAAATCTGATTGGCGAGAAAGGTTTAATTTCAACCACGTGAATGATCTCACTAATTTGATTTAGGGGAAGTGCTCGCTTGGTCCAACAGCTCTCTACGTGATTCGAAACGGAATTTTTTTCTTATGAAAAAATAGGGCAAATTCGCTAATGCAGAGCTAAATAGGGCAAATTCGCAAACATTTTATATCGAATAAACTTTTGATATCAGATTAAGCAGAGTAGTTTTCGATAAAAGTAACAAAGTTTCCAAAAAACGATCAAAAACTCAAATAAATTTGACTTTTCTGAGAACTAAATTTAATACAAAAATTGGATCGTTGCCGCTTAAGTCGCGATGATTACCACAACCTGGTTTTTCGAATCAGCCCTTAATTTAAAATACGAGAGGGCAGTTTTTGAGAAAAATGGGGGAAAATCAGAAGACCAAATTGTCAAGAAATAGCCTTTTTCGAGGCCATAACTTTAATCTATTAAAAATGAGAACCTAGCGGCTTCTGTAGAAAAGATTCTGATTACCTGTTCTTTCTATTGAAATCTTTATCTCAGATTTCACACTGTAGTCTCTAAGAAAAAATCAAAGAAAATGAGTCAAAAACTCCCAACGTTTAAATTTTCGAAAGCCTTTAAAGGTGGAGTAAGGTTAAAAGAGACGATGGAAGCATGCAGACATAAAATGTTATAGCCGCTCTTTCATTGGTGCTGTTTTTTAAATCAGGGAAGAAGTTGTCGAGAACGAAAAAACTTCAGCGAAAAGTGAAAAAACTTGCCTAAGTGTCTCAAAATGATAAAAAAATTTTAAAAATACGATTTCAAAATACATTATTTTGTCGAAAAGGAATTTATTGTCTTCATAACTACGCAATCGGAAAAGATTATGCGATCAGTTTCATATCAGGTTCATAAAAAAATCGGACTTGGAAGTTTCAAGTTTAGTGAAAAATTCTAAAATCAAAACAAAATCCATGCTTTACAAAAAAAGGCGGTAACAAACAGTACCAGATAGTATAAACTCAATTTAAAAACATAAACTCATTCGACAGAAACTAGCCTGAAAACCACGTACCCAAAAAAAATCAAAAAAATTTTCAGAAACCTATTAGAAAAAAAAACTACTTACGGAAACGGACTACACCTATTTACTACCTAAATAAAATAGTTTTATTTGAATTTTCAAAAAATTAAGCATGTCTTTAAATTTAACATTCCTACGAAATTGACCATTTTGTGAACAAAGTTACTTACGGGAAAAAGTCTAGTACCCGATAGCAATACAAGTGAGCTTCATAATGAAGAACGATCAATTTACTACACATTTGTAAGAAAGGCTGTTTACGGGGAAAAGTCTAGTTTCCGCTAGTGAAATGAACACGTTGTTATTCAAAAAAACTTTGGCGAGTGCGGCTGGGACAATGTGAACAAAACAAACCTTATTTCTATTTTATGTTTTTCACTAGTGAATTCATCTCTATTAAGGTAAGAGAGTGGGTCAATTTCGACTTTCGCATCTATCTCAGAATGTAGCCCTATTCTGCAGTCTGTTGGTGGATTTTGAGTAACAGTCACCTCTTCCATTCTAATGCCTGAAAGAGATAAGATTTGTCAAAATTCTAGAATTTTATTGCAAGGGCGAAGTCTGCAGATATTTTATTAGGTTCTCGAGAAAATAAATGAAATGAAACACATCATATGGAGGACCTCCATTTGGATTAAAGGTATTGAGATTGGTTTCACGGTCTCTGCGCTTGATTAAACCAAGATGGGAAAGAAACAATTCTTAACCCAATGATTCAGACCACAACTGATTAGCGAGAGCTTCTGGGTATCTACTCGAACCAGAAACAAACAAACCAACAATCATCCAACTTGTGCATAAAAACCCTAAACATGTTTCAATTTTATTCACGGTAGTGGAAACTTTTTCAGATTTTTTTTTACTCCTTCAGAAGGTCAAAAGTATCATAGTAACCGAGGTTACAGTCATGAGTCCCTTCATCATGTATTCCAGTCAAAATCCTTGGAATTTTTTAGATATGGAAGTGATAATGATATAAGAAGATGACAAGTGTTTAGGTCCTTTTCAATTAAAATCGATACGGGTTACGTTTCTTCAATAAGAACACGCAACTCGACACGAGATAAAATAATATACAAATGTTACAAGTAAAAAATTTCGTCGAAAGTTATTTTGTCATTTATTGTTCCGAGTACGCAAGCGGCGTTCGCAATCTGTATTGCCAGGGAGATTCTCTGTTTTAAAAAGCTGCCTGCTCTGGGTTCCTCAGTGCATATGCTTAGGTTCTTACAAAGTTTGCGCAAAAAAACTTCTGTGCTGGGGCCGGCCGCGCCCTGAATTTCAAAAGCTAGCGGTTGAAAAAGATATCCATCATTTACAAGATCTTTATACTTGTCAATTTTTCGCTCTTCCGCTTCAGCGGCAGCCGTACCAGGGTTACAAACAGACCCCGCATTACTCCTACAAGGAGCTAAGGAGTCTACTACCGTTACATCCCACAAGAGCTGCTTACCATCAGCCCATGGAACGAGCCTCAAACCGTCTGGTCGCTTCTGATCGGTCCTGTAGAGGTGTCGTGATTCTAAAACAGACGGAATGTGAGTGGATGATAGACTCTGCTTTATAAGGGCAATCAGGTTTGAATGACTAGAGAATCTCCCTGCACTTTTGAGGCAAGAAAGACCATGCCAACCATCCTCGGTAACGTCTTTTCCGCACACGCATTCATGCCGTTCGCATATTTTTGAGCCTAATCGAAGTACTAACGCAATTCTGAGTTGTTGGTTCGACAGTTTTAACCTTAAATTTTTGCACGGGATGACGTTCAACCATTGGGATCCAAATCTATCTTGGAACGCGTTGAACCTTTTTACGTCCGTTGGTTCGAGTCGTAAAATCAAGTCTGCAATTTCGCTGTCAAAAATTGGCTCCGTCCAATTTTTTTGGATTTTATTTTCCGGAGCCATTTCAATTTTTCCAAGGTCAAACCACCGTTTAAGCGCATCATCATAGGTTCCATCCACATGCTCCAAACCAAAGATTTCGCTCAAGGCATCTTTCGCTCCTACTGCTGAGGCTAAGAAAGCGGGTAAAGCGAGTAGACGAGCGGAAGAAACGCCCAAGCCACCTTTGGCTGCCGGGAGAACTGCTTGTAAAAACTGGTTATCATCCATTTTCACGTTAGTGACCTTGCATAACGAATTTCTTAGTAATTTATTGTAGCGTTCCAAAAAATCATTTTGCAAAAAACAAGGGCTCGTACCCAAAAAATATAGGTGTTTTGGCATGCTAAAGCAATTTTTCAGGAGGTAAAAACCATAATGGGCGTCTAGTTTGTCAATGACATCCGAGATTTTTTCAAGTTCCTTAATTGTTTCGTCGAGCAATTCTTTTTGGCAAAGTTCGCCGATTGGAGATCCTGAAATGAGGAGTTCTTCTTTTATTTTTATTTTTATTTTGGGGAATTTTTTTCGAAATTGTGTTAAAATTGAATTATACTGTGTACTAGTAGTCGGTCCCAAAAACAAAGTTCACACTTCTCAGTGTTTAAGCTCAGGCCGTAAATTTGTTCCGATTTCAGAATGTTTTTAAGGTCCCAGAGTACTACCTTATAGTCGTCGGCTAAATTCCCATCATCTAAATACCAGATGTTAATTTTCGACTCCAACTGTTTGACTAGTCTATGAATTGTTTCCGCAAAAAGGGGTGGGGCTTCAGGATCACCTTGCTGAGTTCCGTCTTCTGACATTATGACAGAGCTTCCGTAAAAAGTAACTAGGTTTACCATACACGCAATGGGTGTAATTATACAATTCGGGGCGATTTGAATAAACATGATTCAGCATTTTTTCTCTGTTTAAAGAGTTAAAAGCATTCTTAAAATCGTGTTTTAAAAGAACAGTGCATTTTGGATTGTCGTCGCGTTCAATTAGGTTTCGAAACGAGTGCGCAGCTATTTCTGCTCCTCTTTTGGTACCGCATCCTACCTGTACGTTTCCGAAAAAGTTTTGTCGCTCGGAGAGGGTCTTGCTTCCAGCGCATTTAGACGCGATGCGTCTCAGCGTGTTGCCTATGGCAATCGGTCTCAACCCTCCGTCTATCTTTAGGAGGGCGATAAGCTTTGCGCCAAAAAAAAGGTCTTAATGGTTCGGGTATTTTGCCATCTCCAATGATGTTTATCAGCTTAGTAAGCGAGTTCAGAAAATTAGGTCCTGCACTGCCATTCGACTTACTAACAAGATCTTTAAAAATTTGAGGAACTATTTTATCAGGACCTGCTGCTGATCCGTTTGGAAAGGACATTATCGCTTTGTATAGGTCGAAATCGGTTACGAAAAAACTATCCAACTTTCCTGGATTTGGAGCTGCAAATTTGGCTCGCTGCGGGTGCTTAGACAACAATTTTTGATATTTATCAAAAAGGAGCTATTTTGTCATCCGAAGCAGCAAGCCTTATTCCTCCCTTTACATTTCCTTCATCGAGCTTACTACTTATTAACTTTATTCTCTGCTCGAGGTCACTCAGAGGCGGGCTTGAAACTTGGGGATGGGGTTTTGGAAGTGACACGTCATTTGCTCGAATTTTGTTATTAATCAAAGAACTCATGCTTGTGGTCTGTTTGCGTCCACTTCTTTTCGGTTGCTCCAAAAAAAACAAGAAAGACGTTAAAAAAATTAGCCAATTTGTAACATCTTCTACATTGTAGACGATATCATTTATTTTGTCTGACAGACTTTCCGCCAAGGGAACACGCGAGTCTTTTGGTACTCTCTTGAGTACTCGGACATTTGAGATGGCTGTATTAACATAATTGTCTAGCACTAAATCATTACCTGTTGTTGCTTTATTAACAGAATTTACATCAACGCATAAAGGACACTGAAACCATTGGGTTTTCTTAGAGTCGCTCAGAGAAATATTTATACAACTGATATGATACCAACTAGAACAACAATCACATCTAATCCAATTTATCAGTCCTGAAGATTTTAAGCAATCTTTGCTTGTACACTCTTTGTTGTTTTTCCTCAGCTTGACGCAGCATAAAGGTAAAAAAAAGGATTTTGACTGGACTTTAGGGGACTGAACTAACCCATGATAAGCGGTTAGTGGGAATTTTACAAATCAGCAAATAAAAAAAAAGACAACTAAATTAAAATTTAAAATCGAATTATAAAAATCAAAAACAAGGAACAATCTCACCCGATCTCAGTAGGTCCAGCGGCGCACCAACAGACTCCTCAAGCCAGTTCCAGTTTCTCACCTCCCCACAGAAAGCCACTTGACAGACCTGTCTCTAAAATCCCTCAGAGGGCGCTCCACACACAGGCTTAAACATCAAACAGAACAAATCTATTTAATAAGTTTATCACAACAATTAGGCTAAAAAGTTGTGATAAACTTTTAGAGACGTTTTCAGATTCTACTAGTTCCATACTAGTTATTTATGAAGCCAACTATGACTAATTTATCTGGCGAATATGCATATTGTTTTATGATTCTTTAGAGTACTGGATTTAGTTTTCAAAAAGGGACCTTACGCGTATTTACAGTCCGTGCAAAAGCTGGATAGGGTAATACCAGCGTTATATATGCATCAACAGCACTAGAATGATTAAACCACGTCATGCGAAAGTGTCAAAAAAAAGCAGCACAAAAATTTTCAGCATTTACTCCAAGAGAAAAAAAGTCAATAGTCAAAACGTTTTCAAATTAAAACAATCATCTGTTTCTAAAAACATATCAAACGTACCAAAGGCGTACAATCCTAAAAATGTTCCAAACTAACATAAATTAAAATGGGCCCTTCCGTCATGCGACGGTACGTGCACAGGTTGGATAGGGCCATATCAACGCTATATAAATACATCGACAAAATTTTATGAATAAATCAAGTCTATTTTAATGCATCAAGAGAATTGTCAATTAAAATCTAACCCTCCTCGACTACAGCACAGATAGAATTATCTATGTTGGATGTATTTTTAAGTTTTTGCACCCCCTAAAGCAGAGGATTGCACTCCTCAGATAAGTCACCATAAACATGTAGAGCAAAAGGGATTTCATGACATACAGAGATGGGACAAAGAAAGTGATAGATTTCGATGGTGAGATTGTGTGAACTATACGCTTCCTTCCGGTTAACCTCGGGTTTCAAGCGGTTGGGTGTGTAAGTCTTGTCAATTTTTTTATGACAATTAGGCAGTGCCTCTTGTGGTCATTTCAAATGTTTTTTCCTATCTCCGTTCGAATTCGTACATGTCAATTCCAATCGCTTTCCAATGTTTGTCCAGTTTCCACTTGAATTCGTCGATGGTCTTGCTTTGCACTGTTTCCTGTGGCAGAATTGTTCCAGTCGAGAGGTGCTCTTATTGTGAAGAAATTTTTTCGCATTTCTAGATTTGCTTTACGTACTTACTATTTTACATGCGTTACCTCTAGAATCCTTATCATTCCGCTCGAATAGTCCCGCAGTGGCATTCCTAAGGCTTCCTTGGTAAGGCAAACATGCCAACTGGAAAACAGTTTGTGGAAAAATGACAAAAACGAAAAAAAGGAATTTATGAACAAAATTTTTTTTCGTTTTTTTTTAGAAAACAGAATTTAGAAAACAGTTTATGTGGAAAAAGGAGAAGAAAAAAGCGTTAAAAAATAGAATTTTTCGAAACTTTGAAGTTTCTGATTCCTAAATGGCGCTAAAAAACTCAAAAACGAACTTTACTTGAGCAAAACTAAGTTTTCACGGCCTAATTTAAGCTTAACACAGCGATCCAACACAGCTTCGCACCACTTGCGATCCAAATCTGAATGACTATGATTGAAATCAAACGGAAAAATGAAAAAAAAAATAACTTCAGAAAATAGTTTTTGTAAATATAAACTGCAATCAAAGCTCAAAATATCTGGAAGCGAAGTGCCTGCGCCATCAGTAACTCTACATTGAGCTTTGGTAATGCTATAAAGAAGTCAAGAATTCAAAAAAAGCTTTCTGCAAAACTAAGCAGAAAAATAAGCAGACAGACAATCTAAATCAGCAAAAGTTGTGTACTGGCTAAGAAAAAACTCTATTAATTTGTGAAATCGAACGTTTTCGGAACTATGTTCATCGTCAAAGTAATAATATTGATATACAAAGATTTACAGACGCAAAAACATGACAAAAGACAATTAGGTGGTTCTAAACGAGAAATAAAATCTTTCAACCAATCAAAATTAAACACTAAAAGATTTTCGTAATAGTTACTTTCCCTTAGTATTCTCAGATTTTTAAATATAAGCGATTCTTTTAATTCTGAGGGTTTCTTATACTAACATTTCGTTTTTACAGTTTTTCCGATTGACATGCTCGATATTCTGGACTTATATTTTTGGACTCAAATCTAAGCCTTAGCTTGAAAAAAGTGAAACAACAAGAAGTTTAAAAGGTTAATTCAAAAGTTTTCCCACATTTTGTGCATCATCACGATTAAAAGTCTTTACTACAATTTTTACAAAACGATCAAAGATGAGAATCATGTCTAAAATGCTCTAAAACATTTTGACCAAACAATCTTGAACAACTGTAAATACATATTAAATTACATAACTATTAATAACATTTTCCTGTAAACTTCCTGGTTTTTTTAAATTTTTTGTTCTTTCATTGTTATAAAATTTTGATTTGGGTTTATTTTCCAATTCTGACCAGGGAATTCAAGTACTTGACTTTTGTTGGAATTGAGAATTGACAGGGTCACAGGAATTGGGAATTGGAATTGAATTTTTGGCTGGAATTGACATGGAAATGACATCAAAAATTGGCAAATAAAACTGATATCTTGAAAAATGACTCGGTTTAAATTTGACTCAGTCTAAAAGGACTCGGTCTTTGTCTGAATTTGAGCCCCATTCTTTGGTGAAGACGGTGTATATTCGGTCACCACGCTCATTTCCTCAACTGGAAACATTAAACAATTCATTATTTATGCTTAATAGAGGTAATAAAACTATATTAGAAATTCCAACTTAGAATAAATATTGTGGCAACGGAAAATAGCCAGGAATTGGAATTGGAATTGAATTTTAGTCTCTCCAGGAATTGGAATTGGAATTGAATTACAAGGAATTGGAATTGACCCCCCGGAATTGGAACCGGAATTCAACTCCCTGATTCTGACAAGTCAGTTTTTTGAATTTTAGCCGTGTTATACATGGACAATTATTTTAGTGTTAATTCCCGGCTCCTGAATTCGTCGCTTGGGTTGACTCTCGCCCTGCAAATATGCAAAGCCTCTAGTGTGATTAGCTTCTGAGTGTTGGCTGTTTGGTTTATAAACTCTGACTTCAGCTCAGCTGTACCTTTATTACATTCTAACAAGTGTTGCCCTATTGAGAAGTGCTCTTTGCGGTGTTCATTGACCCTCGTGGCTAAACTTCGGACTGTCTGGCCGATATAGGTGGAGTTAAATCCAATAAATGTTTGCTAATACATCACTTTGGATCTCAGTTCACGAGCAAAGAAAGTTTTGAGGGATTGGCAAGCATGTTTTCAATTTTGTTGTTATAAAAATTATTTGTGCCCCGGATATTTGCCGAACCTTTGCAGCTAACAGTTGAGATGGATTGCCTCGATACTGCATGGTAAAAAGAGGGGGGAGGGGGTGATTTTTTCAGCCATTTATCATTTCTCGGTTCTGATGCCGTCACCTCTAATTATTTTTTCCCTAAATGATCTTGTTAAAAATTTCACACACTACCCTGTCCGACCAATTTTTCAGATGTTGAAACCAATCCATTTTTACGATTTTTTTCCAATGCTTGGTCAAAACTTTCCCATGTTGAGGTACTTCTGAAAACCCTATAGACCATAACTTCATTGTTGTTCCTTTTGTATTGCAAAGGTGCGCAACCTCTAAAATTTAGAATGGTGCCGGTATCATTTGTTGACATGAAAGTCATAGCATATTTGAATTTCGATACAACTAAATTTATGGGAAAACATTCATACAAGGAAAAATCAGGCCCAAATTTTTTTAAAAAATTGCAGTAGGCATAGTTTTTTGTTAGAATTATTTTTAAACGGCGTTATAGTAAATAAGATTTAATTTTCCAAAATGAAATTATGCTTAATGCAGGCTTTTTAAAAAGAATTTGTGCCAAAAACTTCCATAAATATATTTATTGTATTTATTGTTTCTTGTTAGAGCCCAGATCTAATGTGGCAAAAAAGTATTGTCCAAGTTAATACACTCGATACGACTGGGAGTGTTTTCAAAATGAGGTGATGTTCTTAGCTACTCGTACTCTTATATGAGTTTAAAATCTGCCAAAGATTCTTAAAAGTAGGTCCGAACAATTTCTCTTTTTAAACCAAAAAGTGGCGGAAATAGGCGAGGAACATCCATATAAAATCACTGATTTTTGAAACCAAAATTGTAACGGTTTCAGCCCAATTGTTTGCTCACTTTTTTAAGCTTTCCTAGAAAAACGAACGAAAAATAATTTCTGTTGTTGAGATCACTTAACGAAGCGCAGTAAGACAGACCTAGGGATGTTTTGTAAGCAAATAGTTTTGAAAACCGTCTTTCTCAGTGCTTCAATTACAAAAACAAGCATTTTGGAAGATGTTGGAGTGTCTATCACAGTTTTCATAAAACGTAGTTTGATTTATTTGTGCAAATACAAACTTTCGGTAGAAAAAAAGAACTACGACAGGAAAATTACTATCAACCAGTCTCCAACCTACATAGTCAAAATTATTAATACAGTTTATCTTGAGATTCAGAGTTGGAGCAACTTGGATTTAAAAAAATTAGGATTAAAGGCTGAGATTCAATCTGAGATCTGAACTGAATATAAAGAAGAGGTTGTATTTGTTGACAAAAGTATTGAAAAAAATGAAATAGTCTCGAATTGACTCTCGGCCTCCACAAATAAGCAAATAAGCACCACAAAAGTTCCGGTTGTTTAGTTTTTGACTTATTGTTTAGTGTGTAGTTATTCTTGAAATTGTACAAGTTAAATCAGTTTCAATTGGTTGACCTCGAAAAAGAAAAAAACTTTGACTAAAATTTCTGACCTTGGAACGGCAGATTGTTGCCCATCAATATTCGATTGTGTTGATCCTCGTTAGCGTTGCTCAGGGCATTCGTCAACAAGTTAGTTTTCGGTGATTCGGCAAAAAAACACTGCGGGAGTTCGACTGTCTAAACTTCAATCCGTTCTCAAACAAAAATGTAGTTCTACTCAATGTGCTTCATTCGCTTCTCAAAGACAAGAATTCTTACATTTATAATGAAGCTTTGCTCATCGTTCTTGAAGACTGCTGGCCCGTAATTCAAAACGCCTCTCCCATAGTGAATTGAACACAGATGTAGGGCTTCTTAAACCGGTGCTGCGATTGT